CGCCTTCTACAGACCCCACACGGTGTAGACGGCCGTGTTATTTCCCAGTGTTAGATAAGACAAAACCAGCCGAATTCAAGAAATAGACTCAGGTCTTGCAGAAATGTTTGGGTACAAATTCAGTCACCCTGACCTTGTGTCAGGCTGTTCAGAACTCTTACATCTGGCTCAGGGGCTGGGCCTCTGTTCCCCCAAACACATCTCCTCACGAGTCCTCCAAGCATGGCTCCTCATGAGTTCCTGTGTTCCTTCAGAAGAGCTGAGCAAGGATTTAAAAACCACACATAAAGCTAATAATTTTCTATGTAACTGAGGCAAGAAATTTCCAGTAGACTAGGGAAATCCATTTTTTTTAAAAGATGCCCTAGGCCATTTCTAAAGGAAGAGCATTTGTTCTTTCTCTCTCAAAATACTAGGAACTGTTTGGGGCCGGGTCCTCTAGTGTTGGCTGCTACTTTTTACATCTGAATTAAATTTCACCTGGAAGGTGGAGACAGTTTCTGAGAGAAGCCCACTGTTACCTTTAATATCCCCAATGAACACAAATCTGCCTAGCTTCCCTCCCCAGGAGGTTTGGTCATACAGATGTTGTAATTGGCACCATGCCACTTCCTGCCATTCTCTTTCATATTGCCCAGGTTTTAAAGGTCATAGTTACCCAAAAAGGTCTTTGGAAAGCCCTTTTCTAGTTAAGTTAAGCATGACCCTGAACTTCCTATTCCTTTGTGACTCTCTGGGAAAGTTTTTTATATAGAAAATAAAATGTAAAGAGGAGAGAGAGAATATTCCCCGTTCTTACCACTTCCTCCTCTTTGCCTCGCTATGCAAACTATTTTCCCTTCAGAGGAGAAAGAAAACAGAAGCCTTTCACTAACACTTGCCAGACTTTTATCTCTTGGCCATGGCATTGAGATAATCTTGATTTAAATATGTCCCCAAAGTGATCAAAAGATCACTTTTGAGATCTTTTCACTTCATGAGCGATTTCCATTCAGCTCCCTTCAGCAGAAGCACTGATGTTAGCCCATCCATGAGACACCCCAAGTCTTCGCTGCTGGCAGCAACAGGAGGACCTGTGTTTGTCCTTTCAATGCGTGTATTCCAGGGCACTCTGTGCACAGCACTGGCGTCATTGGGAAGAGGCCAGGTGCCCTTCTTTGTTGCTGATATTTTCATTCTAAGCCACCTTTTCTGAGCCTTGATCACGAAGGCAGCAGTGCTTTTCCAGGCCTGTGTTCCTGGTGAGTAGGAAGGGAGACCCGTAAGCCACCTTTATTCCCAGGGAAGAAAGAAACATTTTTACCATCTACTAGAATAACCTCTCTCTCCCTCTTTTGTCTTGCAATCTTTGTCCTCAAACATTTTATAGCCTTTGATACACTTGCTAACACTGTATTTTTACAATCCCTTGCATTGGCACCTTTATACCAACACCCCAACTTTCTTATAATCGACTTTTCTAACTCCCCTCTAGCGTCTCTTCTTCTAGGCCCTCGCTGTCAGAAACTCTCAGAATTGAATTCTGATTCTTGGTGGGACAACTGTTTTTCTTCACCCCATGACTGTCCCGCTCTCCTGTATTTTAGAGATCTAACCCTTCCTTCCTTCTTTAAGGGGCACTTCTGTTGCCAGAGCCTCATTCTGTGCTCAGTGTAACTATTAACATGCTTGTCTCGCCATGTGGATGAGCAATGATCTTTTTGAAAGACTGTTTTTTTTTGCTCTTTGTCATACCTAAAGAGCTTGTAAAATAGTAAGTCATTAACTAAAAGTTGAATTGACTCACCTTACTCCCCGTACCTGACATTACCTAGTATTCCTAGAACTCATTACATCTCCATTCATTTATAGAGCCTGATTGCATTATAGAAATGATAGCAACTTATCTTATGCTGTGTCGGTGCCCTATTGCAATACCACCCCCCCAACAGACAAGCCATATCCACATCGAACATTGCGGTCTATGTCCACCTTCCCTCAGCTTTGTATTTCTTGAACTGTCATCTTGATTGTCATGGCCTAGTGATTTCCAAGAGGTTCTTGGATCTTATTTTAGAGATTCCTTTGATGTGGGGCTCTGAACACTTGTTTATATCTGTGGATCTATAACTTCTGTTTTGCGAGAGACGATATCAGTTATTACCTATTGTTGCACTGACTTATAGCTAGATTGATAGATTTCAATGCACTTACGCTGTGAGTTTGATGTTATTTCATTAGCTGCATGGTGTCTTCTGAACTTGCATAGGGTAGTCATGTTTTTAAAAGCTCCTGTTAACCATTCAGGAATGCCTCCACAGTATTCGAAAGGTAGTCAAAGGCGGATTCAGTGCTGCAATCAGTTCTAGATGGTAGTTCTTTAGGTTGATGTTTCGTTGATCATAAAAAATGTAAAAATATAAAGGTAGGATATTAATATAACATTATTAAAATAGCAAGTTCTGTCCCTTATCAAAAGATGTAACAAAAGATGTTTTAACAGCAAAAAAAAAAAAAAAATAGGAGAAAGAAAACAAGGAAGCCATTTAGTAACACTCGCCAGGCCATGTTCTCTTGGTCACGGCATTGAGACCATCTTAGTGTAAATGTGTCCCCAAATCTCACTTTTGAGATCTTTTCGCTCTGTGAGCATTTCCCATTCAGCAGAAGCACTGATGCTAATCTATCTGCGAGACACCCTGAGCATTCACTGCTGGCAGAAGGAGATCTGTTTTGGGCCCTTTTAATGTGTACTTTCCAGGACACTCTGTGCACACCGGCACTGGCGTCATTGGGAAGAGGCCACGTGTCCTTCTTTGTTGCTGTTATCTTCATTCTAAGCCACACTTAGGCTTAGATGATACATAGGACTTTATGTGAGATTTACTTTTCTCATTTTACCACAGATGATAAAACTTTAGCATACACCAGTACGGTTGTAGCATCTAATCTTTGACAACTACTGCACTCAACCAGTGGAGGCCGACTGATTTATTTTAGCAGAAAACCCCATGTTGTAAAAGGCTGACGGTTACCCAGTATTTGTCTAATATGCAGCGGATTATACTGTCCAAGATCGCCTAGTCTCCCATTTCACATACTCCTCTCGCTGTGTGGTCCTGTCATTCCTAGTGTGGAAATAGGAATCTCTGAGCTGTCTTGAATCTGGGGAGCCCGTGACTATAGTTGAAAGTGATTCTGTGTCTTTTCCAACGCTATGTCATAAGAGGTGATGTGGCTTCTGCCTCAATCTCTTAAGATACCAGTAACCTTAGAAACCGGCCAGTGAGGAGACCAACAAGGAAAGGTCTCTCAAAGGTTCTCAAGCTTGCAGCTCTGACTCCTCTCCATCCATCTAACCGCTGCTGCCAGCCTGCCTGACTAGGGGTGAAGTCATCTTGAAAGTGGATTCTCCAATCAAGCCACTATTGGATGCTGTATGGAGTGGAGGCAACCTTCTCTGCTGATTCCTCCCAGAATCACGGACTTCTGAGACAAATAAATGTTTCGTTTTAAGTCATCCAGTTTTGTATTTATTGGTTACACAGTAAAATATAACACACACGTTGAAACTCAGAAATGTCAGGTGACATAACAAAGCCTAGAATTTGTGGCTTTGGTTTTGAAAGTGGATGGTGGGGGGAAGCTGCAAAAGTCTAGCGGGGAGCATGTGACAGCCTCCAGGACTGAAGTACAGCCCGATCAGAAGCCTTCAGATCCTCTGTGAGGCCACTAGAGGGGGCTAATGAGAAAGGGGCATGTCCCTGCAGGCTAGAGAAAAAGGCTCTTGTTATGAGGCCACAGGAAGGTTTTTTATTTTTTTTTAATGATGTTAAATAATGGCCCAAAGATTCAGTGAATATGTCCCAACTTGGTCCCAGTGCCACCTCGCCTTTTCTAAAGTGTGAGGGGAAGGCTCTGAGCTGAAGAAAGGAACGCACCAACTTTCAAGTAAATAAATGTGCCAGTAGCTACTGGGTTTGAAATCGAAGTTACTCTTCATTTTCCAGCCTTTCTAGGTGACAAAAGTTATTAACCCAAGAAGTGATTTCTGGGAAAAGATAAAACCCAGGGCAGAACTACAGGGGCATCTGTTAAGAAATCAGAAACACCTCAGATGGTACCTCGGGGTTCTCAGATAATTGGGCGCTTTTCCCTTGAGTGTCCTGGGATGGTCACCACGGCTCTTCCCAGATGGTGATGGAACTGCCACGTCCATTCCCTTTCTCAGCAGTGGCATATGCCAGCACAAGGACCTGTCTGACCCACTTTTCTGCAGTCCCATGTCCACCCCTGACCAAATCAACTTATTGGCAGATGGAAAACTATGAGTGACACATCTGTATTCCAGGCCTGCCTCAGTCACACAGCAGAGTCTGTTGTCAGAAGACACGAGGGGAAAACACGCTTCAGCCTCTGGGCTCTCCAGGGCTATCAACACCTGCTTCTGCTGGCTTTGCTCAGAATGGTGAAATAGAAAATGTATTTATTATTTTGAGACAGGGTTTCTCTGTGTATCCCTGGCTGTCCTGGAACTTGTTCTGTAGACCAGGCTGACCTCGAACTTGGAGATCTGCCTGGACACTGCTTTCCAAGTGAAAAATATAAATTTATTATTGCTTTTGCAAAGGTTCTTCACGAGGGTGGTTATAATGAAGAGTAGCTCCGTCATCCCTGCAGCTTACTTAGGTGCTGTCTGACTTTCAGAACCATGTCTAAGCCAGAGTTCAATATAAATTTTGTCCAAGTTTCTTGAGGTATGTGGACTTGGAGAACCTGAGTCTTGAAACTTAAAACTACAAGAGTTGTAGTTACAAGGTTTGGGAGAACCAAGAGAGCTTTGGGGCAGGGGAATCACAACAGGGAAATGGGAGCTAAACCCAGCAGGGAAGGGCATTGTTTAAAATGACCCGAGGCAGTGCAGCCCCAGAGCCAAGTGAGAACCAGCAATGGAAAGTGAAAGTGGAAGTGAGGGCTAGCCTGGTGAGGTGAGCATCAGGTGAGGGAAATGGTCCCGCAGCTTAAGAAAAACACACATCGATACAAAGAAAGTTGCAGAGATCATTTTAGGGTGGTGTGGATGTATTAGTTATAATTCGGGGGCAGATATAGAACTTCTGACTGAAATTCAGTCTCTAAGAATCGAGACATCCTTCAGAGCTTCTTCACCACAGAAGTGATGCAGATGACGGACGGATTCAGCCAGCTTCCTGTGTGATGCTCCCCTTGGAGCACACACAGCAACCTTGATTAGTAAGGAGCAGGAAGAAAAAGAGTTCCCTGCACACAGTGTAACTCCTCCATGGCAGCAAACTGCAAGTTGATGATTAGCGTTCACCCAAGAAATATTTAACAGTGTTTGTTTGTAGCGATTTAGTGGGTGACATTGTCCCTTCAAGTGAAGAACTGAAATTCAGTGATGAGTTGAATGGAGAAAAATGAGGACGTTCGTAAACAGAAGAGGAAGAAAAGGAAAATGGTAAATAAGAACGAATCGGGGTCTGGGTAGGGGAAGAAGTCTAAAGGGACCAGAAGGGTGATGGGTGGGTAAGATGGATACAACATGAAGGCAGAAAGTGGGGAGTAGGGATGTGGGAGGATAGTGAGAGGCACAAATGTGAGCAATATACATGTGTACTAAGATGTTACAATGAACCCCATTATTTTGTATGCCAGCTAAGAGCTAATTTCAGAAATGAGCGAGAAGGCAGTAGTGTTGAAGGGGATCAGGGCTGAACTGGAAAGAATTAGCATAAGAAAAACATCACGTGTGTTTTTAAAACCCCAGAGGTTCTGTCTATGTGGCTATCTTTGACCCTTTCTTCTGTTATGTCAGGCAAAGGAAATCAGTTAAAAACAGTTGTTGGTGTAGACTACAGTGTGGCCATTAAATGCATGCTTCTCTGCAACTCAATAACTCCTTTGGGATTGGAGGTGGGAATCATGAGTGCAGCCAATCAGAACAAAAGCAGGTTGGCAAGAAACCAATGGGAGGGCAGCATGGAAACAGCTTTGGCTTTGGTATCAGTTGGTGGTACTGGCCCTGGCAAACAGAGGCAGAGCTGAGCAGAACTGAGCCCTGTTCTTTGGGATTTTGAAAGGCTACCGTTTGATGTCAACTCTGAGCCATTTTAGGCTTGGAAGAACACACCTCTGGGAAAGAACTTGATTTTAAGGTCATTCACATGGGGATGAGGGCTTGAGGAGAAGGACCCAACGAGCTGCTTGAGGGTTGGGAGTAACTTAAAGATGTAGTGACCATTTCCTTCTTTACTTTAGAATCCTTGTGAGTGATAGCAAATGAGTATAAAATGGGGCTATTCTTGAGACAACTTCAGGAATCTTCAGGGGCTCTTAGATTAAGGCTAGCTATAAGGGAAAACAGACGAAGCCAAGTCCTTCTCAGGACTGTCAGGTCATTTATGCAGGCTATGTCTTACACAGGACACCAATTCAGTGGGGGCCATTAGGAACGGTATCCTGCCGGTTGTTGATATGACAAGCCACCTGCCTGTGGTCAGGCTTCATGGCCTGGAGCAAGAGCTGCCTTTTCTACCTCAGTCAGACTTCACACAATCAAACCTCAACCTCCGTCTTTTCAGTTTTTTTTTAAAAATATCGTTTATCCTTGTCTTCCCTCCCAACTTTAGCTGATGAGATGCCACTTACATTGCCTCTCATTTGCTGAGAGAGGAGCAATACGTTTTGAAGCTGAAGTAGCCAAGTGGCATTCCAGAGTGGCTTGTACTCACCGAGAACGAGGAGCTTGGGTTTGTCCTTGCTCCTTCCCCCTCAGAGAGTTCACTCGCCAGTGTTTATGGTGAACCTGTCTTGTGCTGCGAACCATGTTTACGGCCTTAATGAAAGTCAAAGACTCAGTCTTGGCCTTTGAGAGACTTACAGCTCCAAGCAAGCACATGATCAAGTCACCACAAAAAGAGTCCAGTCCAGTCCCGATCCACTCCTTCCCATGTGTAGGTAGCATGACGATGCAGGAACACAAACGCTGCTGCTAGTTCCCCGTAAATATCCCTGGAGCATGAAGGCGAGTGAGGACATAAATGTGCTCATTTCTGAGTGTGCTACCCCCTCAGTATGTGGAACGTGAATAAACTGAACCCCAGTAGGACTCATGCCTCTTCCCCCTCTTTTTTCCCCCCATTTTACAGCAGGGTCGTCTGCCATAAGTGCAATTTACTTCTGGAAAAGCAATGCCAAACAACAGTTTTTCTTTCTGGGCAGCAAAAGATGACAACAAGCCCGACCTGCTCTGTGGGAGGCCAGCCGATTACTTTGTGGTCCAGAAGCATTTTACAATTATCATAAGTGCCATTATTGTTTTGGGAGGTAAGTCGTCATGCGGGACTCCTCTGTCATTAGAGACTTTTCTCACCATAGCAGGAGGTCACAGCTACGTTACAAGAGCAGCCAAGGAAACCTTAAGCTGATGGTGGAGACTGTCAGGCCAGCTTCATTCAGTTTCTAAGGAGCACTTGTGTATAGCCCTTTATTCAGTAACACTAGCTGGACACGGGAAGGGGGTGGTGCATTAAAGAGACCGAGGCAGTCCTTGACATTACGGAACTTTCTCATGGGGGAGACAGGCATACAAATAACCAAGAGGCAATGTGTTGAGTGTTGACATAAAGATATTGCCAGGATTCTCTACTAATAAGGAGGAAGGAGATCCCGATGCTGCCTGCATGACCAGGCTGACCCCGATAAAACATCTGAAATGAGGGGAGACCGGTTGGCAAACAGACAAAGAGGACACAATTTGCATAGTTGATATCATATTATGGCTTTAAAAAAAGCATCTCATTTTATTATAGGTGTAGGAACGTTTTGCCTGCACACACGTCTATGTACCATGTGCATGCCGTGCCTACAGAGGCCAGAAGAGAGCAGTAGAGTCCCTAAAACTATGTAGTTATGGCTGTTTGTGAGTTGCCAAGGATGCTAGTGCTGGGAACCGAACCTGGGTCCTCTGGAAGATCAGCAAGTATTCTTAACCACTGAGCAATCCCTCCAGCCCCTATTTTGGCTTTTGATGGGATTTTTCTTTACTCCACCCACTTTTCCTGCCTAGAAGAAAATTGGAGAGAGTTTGTAAACAAAGGCCTCCTAAATATTGATTAAGCATCCAGCAGGTATAGCGAATAGTATTCCTACATGAATACCAGATGAAGTAGCCTACTCAATAACACAGGTGCCTTATTCCACAGTTAACTCCTGTGATGAAAGTTTCTAGGTCTCTGTAAAAGAATATTTACTTAGGAAAAACACCACCTGCTCCAAAACCTTTTCTGGAGTCAGAAGGATCATCTAGGACCAAATAATGAGACAAATATGTACAAAGAGCATCTTCATTTTAGTGTTTATTAGGGAGTGAATTGCTTTGTCTAGAGATTTTAATATAATATCTAAGGACTTTGTTTCCTTTGGTACCCACAATGGCCTGGTGACCGTGAGCTTTGCTGACCCTAGATACACTCTGAGGATGTAACGGTTAGGTGGCTAGCATCAAGGGCATTGCAGAAACAGCGGTAATACCATCGCTCTACCTGAACTTAAGCATAAGAAGTATTCAATAATTATTTACTGATTTGGTTCAACTTCAAGCTGGGAGGCAGGATGCAAGAAGCTGAACTGTCAGTGGGTCTTGCTTTATGCACAGATGCATAGGATTATAGTCTGTCTTCTGTCTCTAGGGGAAAGAACAGACAGAATAGGCTTACAGGCAGCAAGACAGTGACAAGTGTCTCATGACTTGTCCTGTGAAGAAGGTGTTCCTTGTGCCACAGTCAGTTTCACGTATCTCTGTCTTCCAGTATATGTATTTTAAGCACAGGATGAATGCTTGTTAGCATAAAATGAAGTATATGGATACTAAGTCCAGCCTTTTGATTAATTGTCACCAACAAACCCATTGGTAAGATGCCTACAGAGCGACCCTAACACGTTTCTGCACAAGCAAGTGTAAGGCTTGTGAAACCTCAATATTTTCCATATTATTCTGTGAGGGATGCCTAATTATGTGTATCTTACACTTAACAAATTGTATTTGTGGGTCATCCAGGTGATTTCAGAGGTTAAAAGCACTTCCCACACAAGCCTGTCTACCTGAGTTCAATCCCCAGAACCCACATAAGGTGGAGGGCGAGAACCGGTTCAACAAGTGTGTGCGCAGAGAGTGAGAATTTCCTAAACCCAAATAGCATTTGTAATAATTATTAACTATTCATACACACTATGACTCAGAAGTTGAAAATTAAATAACTAGACTAACAGCTAATTACATCATGTTGAAAATATAAATAATCATTTTTCTCTTTCAATAAGGTTTATTTTTAATTGACATGCAATATATATATAGTTATAGGTTACAGTACAACTTGACATAGGCATACAATGCATAATGATCAAATAGGATAATTACCATTTTGAAATTATAACTTGTATTTTTATTTTTTAGGGTTTTCAAAGATGATTTTAAAGAATTCCGAGGTCTTTGCCTTGATGGTTCTCTCTGTGTCAGGATTTGTGACAGGGCAACTGGCTTACCATTTTGTCGAGGTACTGTACACCTACTAAGTTATACTAAGTTTCAGGTCAAGCACCTCAAACAAGACCCACTCCAAATGTGTAAGTTTTTCCTCTTCTGCAGTCCTGGGACTCAAACCCAGGGCTTCATGCATGCCAGACAGTTGTATCCACCGTGTGGGTGTTGGGAACTCCACCTGGTCCTTAGCAAGAGCAGCAAGTGCTCTTAACCATTAAGCCATCCTGCCAGCCCCTGCAGCAGTTATTTCATGATAAAGCATGATTGCCCCTTCCTCTCAGATCAGATATGAAGCACGCATTATACACAATATAGTCACAAGAAAATATTCCTCCATTTCTTAAAACTTATTAGTGCCTGGCCTTAACAGCGATGCAATGTACATTAACAGGTTGTCTCCATTCAATGTTTTATCTTTTGGGATGGAAATAACACCTGCAGCACCTTTCTCTAGGTCTGCAGAAGCCTGTCACCCTCCTGAAGTTCCTCTGCTCCCACGAGCCAACACCATTTGAGTGCCTACCGTGTGCTGTACCCATTTTTAAGTGTTCTATACTCAACTCATGAATCCTTGAGTTTAATTCATTCATTCTTGCAGGAACTCGATGGCAGTAAACTCTCCAGCTGCTCTACGGATGGAGGCACAGAGAAATTAGACAATGCAGTTGTTAGATTGGAACATTTACAGCACTCCCACAACTGTTGTGTTTTTTTTTTTTTATTACTTATGTGCACCTTCCATCATCCATGCCTTATATAACTGATTTTACCACCATCTAAACATCAGATTTCTCTGCTGACTAACTGGAATGTTTTTTTTTTTTCAATTCCAAGCAGATAACTGCAAAGCCACAAATATCCGTGTGAGAACATATAATAGATATATTAAAATAAATATCTAATAGCTTAATATTTTTTCTTGGAATTTCATTGGATTATCTCAGGTAACATCAATGGTAAGGGATATAATATCATTTTTGGAAGTACCACTTTTAGGTTTTAAGTCATGTTCATGTAACATATTTCAGGAAAGAGTGGAAAAGGAAGGGCTGGCGAGATGACTCAGTGGTTAAGAGCACTTGTTACTCTTGCAGAGGATCTGGGTTTGGTTCCCAGCACACACGCATAACAGCTCATAACCCTCTATAATTTTAGTTTTAGGGAATTTGACACCCAACCCTGGCCTCCTGGGCCACTGTATGTATGTACACAAATGTAGCAAAAACATTCATATACATAAAAATAAAACAAACAAACAAATGAACCAACAATTTTCCAGAAGGAGGAAAATGGTTTTCGGCTCATGGTTTCATGATTTTCAGTGGTTTGTTGTTTGGCTCCATGGCTATGGTATGTGGGAAGATGGATCATCATCATGGCAGAAAGAGCTAAAAAGGCCGGAGTCAGGACAGTATACACCCTAGAATGCCACACCTGTGACTTTCTTCCTTCCTTCCTTTCTTTCTTTCTTTCTTTCTTTCTTTCTTTCTTTCTTTCTTTCTTTCTTTCTTTCTTTCTTTCTTATTTTTTTTTTTTTTGGTTTTTCGAGACAGGGTTTCTCTGTGGTTTTGGAGCCTGTCCTGGAACTAGCTCTGTAGACCAGGCTACAGAACTCACAGAGATCCGCCTGCCTCTGCCTCCCAAGGGATTAAAGGCGTGCACCACGACCGCCCGGCTGTGACTTTCTTTCTTTCTTTTTTTTTTTTTGCCAAGACACCTATTTATTTTATTTTATAGTTTTATATGTGGGGGTGTCTTGCCTACACGTATGTATGTATATTACTTGCCTTACTTGTTCCTGTGGATGCCAGAAGAGGGGGTTGGGTCTCTTGGAACTAGAATTACAGGCAGTGGTGAGCTGTCATGTGGGTACTGAGAATTGAAGCCAGGTCCTCTGGAAGAGCAGCCAGTGCTCTTAACTGGTGAGCCATCTCTAGCCCCTACTCTTATTGATTTTAAAAACTATTGTTCTTCTCAGCCTTTAAACTGTTATTGAGAATTATTAAATGCTGCCACCAAGGAGTGCTCTTAAGTGAAGGTGGCAGACATTAGAAAAACACCACTTTAATTTGTTGGATTATGTAGATTTAAAAATTGTTTTACTAGCACCTATACAAGACAATGGGCTTCATTATGATATTTTCACAATTATATAAAATACTCTGCATCATGTCATTATTCACCTGCATTGCACATTCCATAAGCCTCTTTTCCTATTCCTCATAGGCTAGTTCCTATTTTTTCTTTTTTTAAATCAAGACATTACTTTACTAGAGCTTGACTGAGTAAAACTGAGATGAGCTGAATCTGGCACTGCCATCAGCCCCTTCCTTATTCTTGTTTGAATCACTGTCCTTCTAAGCCCACTTCTTACACAGTTCAGGGACAGTAAACAGCCACTTGTAATACCTGTCATGATTGCTGTGGATTTTTTTAAAACATATTTTTATTAATTCTCTGGGGATCTCACAACAAGCACCTAATTCCACTCATTTTCATTTATTTATTTATTTATTTATTTATTTATTTATTTATTTATTTAAGATTTCTGTCTCTTCCCCACCGCCGCCTCCTCTTTCCCTCCCCCTCCCCCAATGTGACTTTCATGCAGCGTCCAAATCCTAAAAGCCCAAGGATGTAATTAGCATCCTCATGAGCCAAACACCTCTCAATAGCGCCACCTGCTGGAACAAAGTCCTCAAAACACGAATCTTTTGGGGGGGGGTGACGGTGGGGGTGACGGTGGGGGGGTGGTGGTGGGGCGGAGGGGCACATTTTAAAACCACCACAAGCAACAGACTAATTTTTTCATGCATTTGTTCCTTTAGGTGCACCAAATTGTCTACCCTCTTCTAAAAACACCAAGTTTTTCACTTTATTGTTATTTTTTACCTTTAATTGTATTTGTGGCTGCTTTGGACGTGGACTTTTATATAGTCAAGAACGTGTTATGGCAGGTAAGAAAACACTTTAAATTAGTGCTCTGTAGAACCACTAATTTAAAAGAGTTGAGGGGCAGGCTGTGTGTGTGTGGGGGGAGGGTGGTGGTGGTGGTGGAATTAGTGTTTGCTGAGGGACTGCTACATTGGGATCTGAGTAAACAACAAGTCAGATTTGCCCACAAGCCAACAGAAGCTCAGAAATCACAAGAGGGTCTGGAAATATTTGGGTCTGGGTGCTGGTCCTAACCTGGTTTCATCATGACGGTATCTTCTTTTAATTGCTGGGACTGTATTTATTATTTCTCCTTTTCTGTAATTACACTCCTTTCACGATTTTATTTGTGTTTTCCGAGAACATTTTCCCCATTTTAGTTTAATTCTGTTCTTTCTAGCATATTGAATTAAAATTAGTTGATTTGTGGCATTTTAATGGTATTTTGCATATTCAATGTTTATTTTTCCCCTTTTACCCAATCTCATGTTTTGATGTTTCGTGTTTCATTATTATTCAATTCTAACTTTTAAATGCTTTTTTTTGGGGGGGGTACATTCATTCTCTTTTTAGTTATTTAGCCTTGGCTGGGCTGGAACTTGCTATGTAGAGCAGGCTGGCCTTGAATTTACATTCTGCCTGTTAGGCTTAAGGGCATGTAACCATGTCTACAGGGTGTGAATCTGGGATGTATTGATTTAGAGTCCTCTGGGTATACCTTTGGGCCCCCCAAACTCTATACAATTCTATGCCAATTAAAATAATAAAGTAATGGCTAGGAACATGGCTCAGTAGTTAAGACACTGACTGTCTTCCAGAGGACTTGTGTTTGGTTCCCAGCACCGGCATGGCAGCTCACAACCATCTGTAACATCATTTCCAAGGGATCTGATGCCCTTTTCTGGCCTCCCTGGGCACCAGGCAGGCAGGTTGTACACATGCTACTGATATACAAATAGGTAGGACACATAACATTAAAAAAAAAAAAGGAAGGAAGGAAGAAAAAAGAAGTTAAAAAGAATATAATGGTGAATATGACCAAAATACATCGTATGCATGCAAAGAATAAATAAAATTTTACATTATTAAAAATAATAAAGTAACAAATATCTGTACCCCAGGATATGGTTTTTCATTGCGGGTAAATGTAGTCTTGTTATATTTGGGTAGATGTGACGCTGTGTGATGAACTGGTTCACAGGTTTTGCTGACGGGAGTGATTAGCTTTGGGATAGCATTTGTCACCATTGCGTATGTGGTTCTGAAATTCAACGAAGACTCGTGGGATCTGCAGTGCTGTTTACTCTTCACCATCACGCTGTGCATAATAGACCCTCTCCATTCCGTCAACTCGCTAAAAACGATTGGTACGTCGGTTCCTTTCTCTCGCTTCACAGATGTGAGGATACCTTGTTATTCCCCCATATCAGGTTCGGTTTTCTCACCTGGCAGAAGTGAGGATACATTGTTTCTTTTGGACTCTGGTGTATTCTTCAGAGTAGGGATTAGTGCTTTATTTTCTCAAGGACAGATGACTGATTTAAAGGCAATGCAGATAAGACAGTCCCTGGAGACAAACCTAAATATTAATCCAGTCACAGTTTCTGAGTAAGCTGGTATTTACCCTGTCATTCCGAGGTCACGTGGAAGCATTCCATTACTTCACATCCAGAATGAAAACTGGAAAACAGATTCCTCTTAAAAAAATAGATATGCTACTTTAGGAATAACAATAATGATGATGATGGCGATAGCAACTCAGCTACATATTTTTTTTCAGGGTAATTTTTTTATTGCAGATCTCTTTAAATATTGGCCAGCTACATATTTTAAATTATTGTTGTTTCAAAACCCCAAGGTAAAAGAACATTAACAGGTCCAGTTGTCTCTGTAATCATGATGATGATAATATGTCACTTATTGTGATCAGTTTGGGTTTTTAATTCAATGGTTTATATTAAGTAGTTGCTTTTATTTATCTTCTTTCTTGAGACAGGGTTTTACTATGTAGCATTGGCTTACCCAAAGGTCACTATATAAACCAGGCTGGCTTTGAACTCAGAGATCCACCTGCCTCTGCCTCCTGAGTGTAGCCTATCAGCTGCTTTTAAAATACATGGGTGTATAGGAAAGCAAACTATATATATNATAATTAAAAAACAATGAAGGAAGGCAAGTGAGCAAGCCAGGGGGATCAAGCAGCAAGTAGCACTTCTCCACAGCCTCTGTCTCGGTTCCTGCTTCTGGGTTCCTGCCCTGTTTGAGTTCATGCCCCGACTTCCCTCAATGATGGAAGCCAAGTGAGCCCTTTCCTACCCTAGTTGCTGGTGGTTGTGGTGTTTATCACAGCAAGAGAAACCAGACCAGGGCAGGAGCTTTAAATCAATGCGTGTTTACACATGACAAACACGACAAGTCAGGCTTTCCCTTCGTCTGTTTTTAAAAAAGAGGGCCTAGAAACCAAGGCCCTATTGTATGTTAGACAATAACTCTACCCCTTAGCTATATCTCCAGCCCAGTTTGGTCCAGTTTAGTTTTGGAGATCTGTTTTATTGGTATACCACTGGACATGGGCAATACAAAAGACTCAATCAAAACTTCTAGAGACACAGACTCTGCAAAGAAAGGGCCAATGAACTTGAAGACACAGCAATGGGGACAATCCAGAAGGACTGTGAAAACAGACTGGGAAAAACCAAGCTTTGATATGCTGTGGGACAAACACCGGCGACCCAATATATGACTCCCCAAAGGTGGCAGAGAAGGGACATATGTTTGTATGAATAATAAATTAAAAAAAAACCTCTTCATTTGGTGAAAACTCAAAGGTTCAAATATCTCCAAAAAATTTTCCCAAGTCCAAGAAAAACAAAATCATTCCATGGGAAATCAAAATAAAATCCTTGAAAATCAATGATTTGATTTCCCTGAACATCAGTCAGAGAGAGAAACCTCCTCAGAAACACAGGGTGCAACCCAAAGACAGCACAGCAACATTTTTTAGAGCCTTAGAAGAAAACTACTGTCGGGTTAGACTCGGTATCTTAAAGTAAAGATGAAATAGAGGCTTTCTCAAATACGTGGAGGCTGAATGGATTTCTCATTCACTAACTTGTACCATATAAAATGTGAAAAGAAGCCTCCAGGAAGAAATAGAATTGTATCAGGTGGAAGTTTGGACGTGGAATCTGACCTACCCAAGCCCCTGGCAACTACTAATGTACTTTTTTTGCCTGAGGGTTTGTCTGCTCTGAACATGGTTTAAATCAAACCATGCAGTGTAGTGGGCCTTCATTGCTCGTGGTCTGTCCCAAGACCCTCAGCGCTTGTCTGAAACTACGGATAGGATGGAGTCCTAGATATACGGTTATTCGCATCTATGATAAGACTTACTGGATAAGTTAGCCTCATTAAGGTAACAGCAATGCGTAATAACTAACCAGTAGAATTATCACAATATATTGTAATTAATTTCTTAAAAACTTATGCGTTGTTTATTTCTGCAATTTTTTATTTTCTGTTTTGGGACCACGGCTGACCTCAAAGGACTGAAGCAACAGAGTAAGACCACAGACAGGCCAGGCTGTTGTACACGGCTTTCGTGTCTGACATCTTTCACTTATAAGGTTCCCAGGGTTCACTGTGCTGTGATTGGATTAGCATTCCTTTCTGTGGAGGAATAATGTCCAGCTAGAGGGGTGTACCCCCCGGCATTTCTGCACCCGTTAGCTGATTAACACGAAACTGTTGTGAATAATATTGAACATTCATATGCAAACAACCATGTATATGTTATTGCTAGGTTATAGTTTACAACTTTCTTCCTTCCTTTCTTCTTTTTCTTCTCTCTCTCTCTCTCTCTCTCTCTCTCTCTCTCTCTCTCTCTCTCTCTCTTTTAGAGCCAGGCAGACACAGTGGTTTCCCTATAATCCCAGTGTGGGGAGAACAGAGACTATGAATCCCTGGAACAAGCTGGCATGCCAGACTAGCTGGAACAGAGAGCTCTGGGATCAGTGAGAGACCTTGCCTCTAAATATGAGGGGACAGTCATTGAGGCAGATGGTTATCATCAACCTCAGGCTTCTCACATGTGTGTCCATGTGCACAGGTGTGAATACGTATAGGCAACCAGACACATGCATATGCAAGCATAAAGTAAAAGGAAATGAGAAAATATCAGAGGCAGTGGGCATCTAAAGGTCAGCTTTACTTGCCAACTTTCACACTCTGGAGTCACCTGGGAAGAGAGTATCAATGTGGAATTGTCTAATAAAGTTGGTCTGTAGGCATGTGTGTGTGTGTGATTGTCTTGATTACGAATTAATCGATATAGCAAAAACCAGGTCACTGAGGGTGCTACCATTTCCTAGGCAGGGGATATTGGACTGTGCAAGTGTACATAAGTACTCCATACATTAGTATAGAGAGGTGGCTGAGTACGAGGAAGTGTGCATGCATTGGTTTTGATAGTGTGTGTGATGTGACTGGGTGTTCTAAATTCCCGATGTCTTGACTTCCCTGCCATGATGGACTATAACCTGGAGCTATGAACTAGAATAAACCTTTTGTCCTATAAGTTGCTTTTTGTCAGGATATTTTTCTTTTTATTATTATTTTATTATTATTATTATTAAAAATTTCCACCTCCTCCCCTTCTCCCATTTCCCTCCTCCTCTCTCCCCTCCCCCCCTCTCCAGTCCAAAGAGCAGTCAGGGTTCCCTGCTCTGTGGGAAGTCCAAGGTCCTCCCCCCTCCATCCAGGTCTAGGAAGGTGAGCATCCAAACAGACTAGGCTCCCACGGAGCCAGTACATGCAGTAGGATCAAAACCCAGTGCCATTGTCCTTGGCTTCTCAGTCAGCCCTCATTGTCCGCCACGTTCAGAGAGTCTGGTTTGCTCACATGCTCCATCAGTTCCAGTCCAGCTGGCCTTGGTGAGCTTGTCAGGATGTTTTTTATCACAGCAACAGAAACAAAACCACGACAGGGTGATACAAGGGTTGCTTCTGTTGTGTTCCTTTGCAGCTGAAGAGCCAGAAGGCTTAGCACGAAAATGAAGAGTGTTGCTTGTGATTGTTTCACGGGCGCATGCCAGTTATGACCGCCTGCTTTCTGTGTTTCCCCCAGCATGTACTCGCTCTTCCCTGTTCTCTATGCAGGAGCACCACTGCACCACACTAAACTCTCTTTCTTGTTCTCCTCCCCAGGCATTTCTAAGATGTACACGGACATTATCAGAGGAGAGTCGTTGATCATTTGTAGCTTCACATGCATTTTCTTTGGAATTTTCCGGGGCCATACAACTAACGTTTCCATGTTCAGGGGTAAGAGCATCGTGGTTTGTCTGTATGTTCTCTAAAATCATTCGTATTGAAATGAAAGTGCGTTCGTCTTTGCATCTTTCTCTATACATTGCTCTGGGGCCAGTTAAAATGGTAAGTTAGATAACAAGAAAATAACTACCACCTTTGTACTTTAGTGATCACTTAAAACACAAAGTATACATTGTATGATAAGCAAAATGCAAACAAGACTATATGGGAGAGCTGGAGAGAGAAAAGGGAAGGGGAAATGATATAATTTTATAATCTCAAAGAATAAAAAAGTAATTCAGACAATAGTAATGAAACCCCTCACTTCCCTCCCCTAGCATGCCTGCACACGTACACCACTACATCACTTGGCTCAGGGTGTCTCTTGAGCTAGGATCACTATGTTTCTCAGTGGACGGAAAGAGTTGACTTGGTCATAGATTTGATGCTGAAAACTTGATTCCTATAGTATTGATAGAACAACCCTAAGAACGAAAAGAGCTGGGTTTGTGTAGCTAATGATCACTGGGAGGTGGAATATGTTCCCCTGACAGGTTTCTAGATGTTGTCCTGGTAGCTAGAGAAGAAAGAGAAAGTCAAGCCATAGCATGAAGGGGGGAAGTGTCCTCCTGTTATGTAACAGCTACAGGTGAGAAGGCCTGAAAGCAGAAAAAATATGAGTGGAAAAAGAGACATTCCCAGTCCTTCTCAATGAAGGAGCCCCAGTAACTTGGGTAGACAATTTAGAAATGATTCATTAGCATATACTAATTAAATATAAATGGATTTCATTATAGTTTTGAATATGTACACAATGTATTTCAAATATCCTCACCCTTGTTGTCTTCTCTTGTTTCTTCCCCACTCCCATTAATCCTCTTTTCAACTAGCCCCTCTATTTATTGTCTTTGTGTGACCCAAGGAGTTTCACTGGGATTGTTGATAGGAGTGTGATGGAAGTTGTTTATATCCCTGGAGAAATCATCATAAGCTGTAGGCTGAACAAGAAGGCTACTCCTAGACGGAAAGGCTACTCCTAGACAGCCTCTTTTTCACAAGTTTGTTGGGGGGCGCTTTCTTTGCTGAAGAACAGGCTCCCTGTTCACAAGCCTCAAGAGTAAACCAAAGACAAACCAAACCCCCAGACGTTCAACTCAAGCTTTTCTTTCTCCCTTTCTTCTAATTTTAGAGTTACATGTCATCATTGGACTCAGCTTTGACATTTTTGGAAGCGCAATATGTGGATATTGGTGTACGAGATTCATTCGGATTATACTGACCGACCTTTTTAGCAACACACTGACTAACGTTGTTCTCTGTTTTTCTCTGGTGTACATGACTTTCTACCTCGGTAAGGCAAAGGAGTGCAAACACTGCTGTTCTCCTGAAAAGCGCAGGAGTCTTGGTTCTGCTCTGCTCCTTACTCCAGAAACTTCGCAACCATTCCCGCCTCTTTGCGGTTTCCCTTCTGTTTTGTCGCTTCACCTCTCCGTCTAGTTATCTCCCGCCCTCTCTTAATAGCCTCTTTATTGTAACTCCATATCCCTTCCTGTTTGCATCCCTACCCCTGGTTACTCTCTTACCCCTTTGCGCTCTGTTCTCTAACCCAATAGGCAGTTCCTGGTTGTCCCCTAGGAGAACATGGAGTTCCTATCTGTTCTGACTCTTGAGCAGCTCGCCTGTAAAAAAGGGGAAATTGGCGGAGAAGCTCCTGAGGTCTTTCCCAGCTCGACAGCCTTCACTTAGTAAGCCGAGAAGGCTACTGAGATGCCGACCTTTTCCTCAATCTAGAAGGCAGGAAAGAAGGAGAGATCAGAGGTGCTTCTGTCCCCAGAGAAGCTGGGGGCGGGACAACTGCCGAAGTAATATAATAGAGCTCCGTCCGTGCGGTCCTTCAGCCAGCTCAATCCTATAAAATTGGGACTTGGAGTGTTACAGTTACCGTGAGCCATAGTAACTACGATCAAACTGCGTTTGCTGTCACCGAGTGACTTTCAGGCAAGATCTCAGATCTCAAGAGCTCTTTCCACGATTGGTTATGGAGAAGCACTGTTTCCCCCACGGACAGATCGCCACCTAGTGGTTGCTCAGCGCTGTGAGCTAGTCAAACTAAAGAAAACATTTGCAGATTTTTTTCCCCCCAGAAAGCTCATTTCAAAAAAACCTCCATTTTATTTCTCCTGTGTGAAAGTTTTGTGGGTTCCTTATCTTCAAAGAAGATTCCATCCCATCTTTCCGTCTCCCTACCAGACTGTGAGCCTCTGGAGCTTGAGTGCGGCTCATAGTCAGCTCTTGCTCTCGGCTTTGCCTCTTTTCAGCCAAGCTTAGAGCTTGTCACATACCTGACAGTAATTTAATACACGATGGTTGAATAAACCAATATTACTCAATTTTTGAGTAAGCAGACCCCAGATATATTTCATCAATCAGCGACCTTGGGACATACTTAGCCCAAAGCTTGTCTCTTCATTTATACAGATTACCTCATTTGTACAGGAACTGCAGGTATTAATGAAGGAAGGTGTGCGATGGGACTCGCTATGCTCGGGAGCTGGAGGTACTTAGGGGCTGGTAGGAGCTCATTATGCAAATCTCCTCCTACCTTCATTTGAGTGACAGTTTAGGGCGCCTAGCAAGTCTTTCTCCACTGCCCCCCATCCCAGTCCCCAGCCGCCAGAGATTAGTTTTTAAGCCTTTGCCAGCTCACCACTGGGTTCAAGGCAGGGAGGTTCATAAACACTGGTTCCCTTCCTCTCTCTTTTAGGATGGAGATGTTTTCAGTCAACGCTTGGTGCCCCTTTAAACAGATTAAATGGACGAGAGCTGAGGGTAGAGGGGGCAAGACCCGGTTGCAAACCATTTTAGCCTCATTTTCACAGTAGAAGATCCCCAGCCTGGACACAGAGTTCTCAAGCTGAGTTGGGGTCTTCACTCAATTAACAGCGTGGATTCCTATTTTCCTTCAATTGTGGGATCAAAGGGCTTGATCAGCTCAGCTCAAGGCAACGAAACCCAAACATCTGACAAAAACGTGTTTAAAACTCGGCACGAAAGAAATCAAGCTATATAAAAATCCATCAAGCAAAGCTAAAAACTAGTATGTACTTATGATTAAAGCCGGAAACATCAGTTTGCCGTTTTCCTTTCCCTGTCATCACATTTGCGGAACCGTTAGCTTTACTTGACTTGTTTAAGTGAAATTCAGCTAGGAAAGTAGGTGAGAAAGTCTAGCGTGCAGCTGTGAATAGATAAATGAGAACAGGGAAATCTTTCCTCACTGTTAACAGAACCGGAGAGCGAGGTCACAGTCACAGCAGAGGTCGTCCATTGCCCCAGGGGATGTGCCGAGCACTAGCTCCTTTGGTCTACAGTTTGCAGGAGGTTTGGGAGGGGCTGCTCTTTCACGCCTGTTTTGTTCGTGCGCAGACTCTGGTGGAGAAAGCAGTCGTCTCTTTCACTTGCCTGCATGCTCTTTCTTTTCCTTTCTGCCTGCTGTGACACTGGACTCTTTGTCTATAGTATCAATGATATTTACGATATTCAAACATTCTCCCTACACTAGGTTTTTCAATATCTAGAGCCCAGCGAATTAACCTTTAGTCGGCGTGGGGGAGTGAGCATGGGGGAGGCAGGAAGCTGTAAGTTCCCTCAGCAATTCCTGGTACATGGAGCACAAAGCCCCCACCAACCCTGTCCTTGGTGATAATGTAGGGTTAGCAAACTGGGTCAAATTTGCTCTTAGCTGAAAATAGCTTTGTAAAAAAGAGCAGAATAAAATACAGGTAGCTCATGGAGATGGAGATCATATGAAGTTGAAAGCCCACGGTGTTCCGTTGGCTAGTCATTAGTTTGCATGCTAGCTCTGGCTTCTTTTACAGGATAATCGCGGAGGAACATAGCGGTGACAGGTCCCCTACAGCTCACAAAGGTTAGGTTTTTATTATGGGGCGGCCCGTTACAGAAGAAACCTTGCTATTTCCCGATCTACAGTATTAGGCGAATTCCCTGAAGCAACTTTCTAAATGAGAAACACCACTTTCAACTTTCCTATTGTCTTTACTCAGTGCACAGCAGTGTGCAGATTTAAATGCATTTACTTTTAACTGTTTTTTTTTTTTTTCCCTCTCTCTCTCCCCAGTGGAATATTTTGGAATGTCAGGAATTGTCGCTTTGGTTACAGTAGGCCTGAATTTAGATTCGTTAAGTTTTAAACCGAGGATGGAGTTCATAATTACTAAGTGAGTTTTCTGCCGCATATTCAGTATAGATTCCATAGGATTTTGTATGTATACAATAGTCTGCCTGCGTGTACACCTGCAGGCCAGAAGAGGGCACCAGATCTCAAAATGGATGGATGTGAGGCACCATGTGGTTGCTGGGAATTGAACTCAGGACCTCTGGAAGAGCACTGCCGAGCCATCTCTCCAGCCCCATTATTGCTATTCTTATTCTGAGTAAAGAATCAGTGGTTCAGAGACCATAGTGCCTTCTTTACGTCACTGTGATGGAGTTATACTTTAAATTATGTTTTTTTTTCCCTTCACGCCATACATGGGTGACACCATCCTGATATGAGAAGAAAGTCAGACACGAAGGAAGAAGGCATCACAGTGAGGCGTCGCTAGCAGAACTCTTGCCCAGTTTTCCCTCAGTGACTGGGTGTGGACCAGTCCACAGACTGATGGGTCAGGCCCTCTCTGAGAAACAATGCTAAACCACAGAATTGTTCAGAATCCAGACACCACGTCACAATCTGCCAAAGAAATTCTCATCTCAAATGAAAGCAGATGTGGACAATACGCCTTAACCACGATTTTTTCTCATGAAGATTTGTTCAGTATAAAAGTTGTTATAAAATAATGCCCCTTCTATATATTTTTTGGTGTTTAAATTATCCTATGAAAATTAATACCAGTGGTAGATGATGGTACTCCTTTTTTTTCTTTTTGGCAAAATGAAAAAAAATTGGTGCCTATAATTTTTGTTACTTTGACGTGTTTGTGAATGAAACGGGACTAACTGGTTCATGATGCTTGTTGCTTAACGCAGCAACCGAACTTGGATGTGCTCTTGAGATTGGTCGTGCTGCCTTGCAACTTGATTGTAATTGCTCGTTCCGGTCACTCAATTGTTAATTCTCTTTAAAATTTTTTATACATTTATATTTTATGTGTGAGCATTCTGCATGTATACCTACATGCCAGAGAGGGCATCAGATCCTATTACAGATGGTTGTGAGCCACCATGTGGTTGCTGGGAATTGAACTCAGGGCCTCTGGAAGAGCATCTCTCCAGCCCCTCAGTTGTTTATTCCTTCATTTAAGCCACCAATCTTCTCCTGCCTGCTATGGCCTGGGTGTTGAATTTTAAGCCTGAGCAATGGGAATAAGACATTTTCCAAAAACAAACAAACAAACAAACAAAACAAACCCATTATTGTTAAAGGGCGTACTTGTTTTTTATGAAAAAAACCTAATGGTAAGTATTCTAAAACTATGTATTTTGGGGGTCCCATTATATGCAAAGGCATTGCTAGACTCTATGGAGATCATTTAAAAAGTATTCAACTCATTAGTTATTCTATGACAGCTGAGAACTAAGCACTGGGGTTTGAGGTCCTCCATTCATGCTTTTCCCCACAGGAGCTCTGAGTGGTTTGAATCAGGAGACAGGAATCTCTTGGGGGAGTCATACTATGTCCTAGTTAAACCAGATACCATGCTTTATCTGCAGCTAAAATGTGGCTTCCTAACACTTCTTCCCTGGTGTAGATCTTGAGAGCCACTGGTGAAGCTTTAGGGCAAAACAGCTTGAAGTCCTCAGAGAGGGAATCGAGAGGAGGCAGGATTTGAGACCTGCCTGATCTGAGACGTCAGATCTGGTCCTGGCTCATGCAAGCCAGCACATCCTACATATGCCACATCCCAGGTTTTTCAGAAGCAATCTGAGAACAACCTACTGGTCTCCCTTGCTTAACTGTGGTGGTGTAGGCAATCAGCATTGCAGGGGCTCAGAAGATGTCACGGCTAACCAGAGAGCGTCAGATGGAGAACACAGGGCAAGAACCAGGTTGCCCAGATGTGTAGGAGTTCAGCAGACTGAAAAGCAGACAAGAGAGGCTTTCCAAATGCAAGTCACAGCAGAAGTGGTGAAGTGGCATTGCATCATCCTCAGCTGTCACTTTGCAGTACCCACGTGGCTCTTTGTAGCCATTCTCACGCAGGACATTCAGCTCCAATATTAGATGAACCGCTGGTTAATCCCATAGAAATCGGTGTGTCACCAGCTTGGGGATGGTTTTATTTCTCTTCTTTGCTCATACTGTTGCATTGTGAGAGGCACACCAAGAGTTGTGGTGTGATGTAAACAATGACCTGAGTGTCTTAAATTGTCTTAATGTTGACTGTAACTAGGATGGAGGACCCAGTTTCCTCTGAGATAATAGTGTTATAACCTAGTTAGTCATAACATAGGTAGTTTGATGTGAAAAAGCATATATTTTTGAAAGTGCATCAATTAAAATGTGATTTCCTTTTTATCCATCCTAGGTTCTTAATAATGTGTTCATCTGCATATGAACATTTAATATATGGCTTCTTTGGCATTGTGATTGGCTGTGGAGAAATCAAATATTTCAGATTCCACTCACTAGTTTTCACTGTCACCTTATTTGTAACAGTGAATTTTGCAAGGTAATGATTCATTTTAAAGTTTTCTTTGCTGGGCTTAGATTTTTTGTATATATATATATATATATATATATATATATACACACACACACACATTTATGTATTCAGGTGTGTATGCGTGTGCATGTGTGTGTGTGCATGTGCATATGTGCATGTGTATGCATACATGTGGAGAGAGGCCTGAGGCTGAAGTTGAATGTCTTCCTTTACATTTTCTCTATCTTATTTCAAAACTACATGTTTACTTGTTTTCTTATTTATTGATATATATTTCCATGCATGCACACATATATATTCACACATTTTGCTGTCAGAGGACAAATCGCAGGAGTTGATTCCCTCCTGACACCACGTAGGTCCTAGGGATGGAACTCAGGCTTTCAAACTTGGCAGCAAGTGCCTTCATCTGCTGAGTCACCTCCACTGGGCCCTCCACTGTGTGCTACATCTAATACATGCTTACTGTTCACATGTGGCTGTTAAATCAGTAGGCCTCTTAACCATCTTTGATTCAAAAATTAGTCTTTGCTTCCTACCTGAATTTATAGGTGCAAGTTTATTTCTGGGCTCACATCACTCTCCCATACTTGCTATCTCTGAGACTCCAGGACGACTTTGAATGCTCTGCAATAGCCTTGGGCACACGGGCCAGTTTCTGACTTGGACACTGACATGTAAAATATGAAACCTTTTCCTCTATATGTCTGTAATAACTTAGGTATTACATAATAGCCTCAAAAATAAAACTTTGTTTCTGTAACTTTATGTTACATATTATCATGTAAGTGGAGGTCAGATCAGAATTATTAGGACGTTACACAGACATACACACACAAACAGATACACACACAGACATACACAGACACACAGACGGAGAAACACACAAACACATACACAGACACACACATGGACACACAGACATACACACACACAGATATGGACACATACACACAAACACACACACAGACTTACACAGACAGACAGACATATACACAGACATACACAGACACACAAACACACAGAGAAACACACACAAACACAGAGAAACACACACGTACACAGACACACACACGGACACACACAGAGACATACACACAGACATATACAGACACACAAACAACACACAGACGTGGACACATACACACAAAACACACACACAGTCACTCTGATACTTTTCTTTCAACTCAAAGGTTGGGGAGATCCCTTATGTAAATGGCCGGTCCTTATGGGAGTGGATGGGAGTGGTTGGCCGATCATAGTGATGACGGAAACTGCCGTGGTCTTCTCTAGCCAGGTCTGTTCTGACATCAGGAACTGACAGTGCCTTTGGAGGCTTTGGTCAGGCCTCTGCTCTATCCAGCTTCTTTGGGCTACTGCCACACCCCTAGAGACCGCCTCACTTTCCATCCACTGTTGGGCCATCAACAGGAACTACATTTCCTCACAAGCTTCCCCATTTTTAAAGGTCTCCCCTTTGAATCCCTGACTCTAGACCTTTAGGAAGCCATCAAGCTTTTACTTCAGTGGGAAATTTCCTGCCATGTCCTCTCTCCCTTCCTCCTGTTTAGCGCCCTAAACTGAGAGTGGCCTAGAAACACCCATCTCCTACTGTTTTAGGATGGGCTGGGTCAGCCAGCTCTTCCAAGGTGTTTGGTTGTTTGGCTATGCAGATTTGCTTTCTCAACTTAGAGTCTCCAGAAGGTGGTGCTTCTCCTAACTGTTCTCTAGTGATGCCCCTCACCACAAGCTGCATTCTAGGCAAACAGCAGTTCCACATCTTTTCATCTGCAAAGAAGAGGCTAGGTAAACACAACAAGAGCTTCTGGTAGAAGTCTCAAGGGTCACAGTGACAATGAAAGTACAGTGCCTCTCTTCAAGAAGTCTGCCATCTTGTTGGTAGGATAAGAGAAATATTCAAATGATTGTAACATAAGGAAACTAAGCTTTATAATGTGAAAAAATGAACGAAATGTATGCCCTGGCAATGCTAAAACATGCATGGGCAGCCCGTATATTTGTTGAACTTGTCCATACTAGGTTTCATGGTTTAAGTTGATGAGGACAACTGACCAGGTCTCTTCTTCAACAGTGCACCAGATCTCATTACAGGCTGTGAGCCACCATGTGGTTGCTGGGAATTGGACTCAGGGCCTTTGGAAGAGCAGGCAGTGCTCTTAACCACTGACCCATCTCTTCAGTCCCTGGGGGTCCACAGCTAGTCATGAGTTTCTGTGAAATGCCTGCTCTGTCATAGATTTACATATTCAAGAAAAATGGATCCAGAGAGAGGGATACACACACATACACCCACACATGTGGGGAGAGAGAGAGAGAGAGAGAGAGAGAGAGAGAGAGAGAGAGAGAGGAGTTGTTAGCAGAAGAGTTATGGACAAGTGAGGGGCAATTCTGGATAGGAGGAGAAGATGAACGCAGTGTAATTTTATCTTGGACCTCATTTGATACACGGGAGCTGTGGAGCTCTGAGGTCCCTAGGTCACCAGGCGATACACAGACATACATGTAGGCAAAATGTCCATACACATAATAAAACAACGAAAAGAAGGTTAGGTTCTGAATTTTGTCACAAGATCCTATTGAAAAGTCACCTTAAAATAAGCAGAAACACATTGAAGCATAGGATTCTTTTCCACCCATTTGTGTGTGTGTATCTGTGGGCATGTATATAGTGCATATATGTACATGTTTTACATGTATGTTGGTGTATGTGTGAGGGATGTGCATGCACGTGTGTGTGTATACATGCCTGTGGGGGAGCCCTGAGGTTGATTTTGAGACTCTACTTCTACTGACCTTCCACTTTCTTCACTGAGGTAGTCTCTCAGTCAGGCCCAGGGCTCAAGCTCACTGATACAGCTATTCTCATAGTCTACTTAGGGAATCTCCTGCCTCTGCCTCCTGAGGCTGGAATTGCAGGTGGACCACCACATCCACCAGGTGTTTAGTTGGGTTCTATGATCTGAACTCCATCCAGTCTCCATACTTCTCCAGCAAGTATTTTCATCCCTGCACCATCTCCAAGAAGAAGTGTATGCTTCTTGTAGGAGGTTAAAAAAAAATTTGCCTGGTTAAGTTTATAAATGTGTCTATATTAATTTTGTTCTCTTGGGGGGGGGTGTCTGATCATCACTTCTTCCAATTCCAGTTTCTCAGTCATTTTGTGGTTTGTCACAGAACAGATAGACTCGTCAAGATGCTTTGGAGAACTGTCCATATAAGAATTTACTACCTAGCTGCAAACTATACACCATAGTGTTAGTGATAAATCCTTACATTTGTGTAGACTCTTCCACTATACACAGACTATAATGCGTACAAACTTCAGATTAGCTCCAGGGACTTACTGGTAACCTCTGCTGTTTTCTCATTCCTGAAACTCTTAAGTGAAGTTTTGTGCTGAGTACACAATTTTAACCATGTATAACATTACTGTATGATGTACGTTTTTATTTATTTGTACCATTTTCCTGCGCACAGGTTGCTTACTGTTCTCTTCGTGAGCCCTATTTTGATGCATTCAAGTTATGAGTACGATTGGCGATGGGGCGTTGTCATCGCATGGTCTGGAATTAGAGGTGTTTTTAGCTTACTCCTGGCTCCAGATATTTATAGTTTTTCTGAACGTAAAATAGAGGCACCGCATATGGTAAGGAACATAATCACGTGTTACAAATATTTTTATTGAGTCATTTATTACTTACTTTGTAGCATACTATACCTCATTTTAAAGTTAACCAATTTTGGATTGTTTTTTTTTTAATGCATTCTTTTCAGTAGAAAAGGACGTTGTCAGAAAAAAGTTTATGTTGATCATGTGGAAGGGGCCGGCATCCACACAGTGATTGTTAACAGAGTTATTTGTATGTTTGATTTCCAATCCTGACTCTGCCATTCACTGACTGGCTGACTTTGGGGGATATACCTTTGCTTCGTTGAATCTCAGCTTCTAATTGAGGGTTGTAAAAATAGCTGACACCTAATAAAAGCTCAGTAAGATTTACCAAGAATACAAATGCCATTTTCCCCCAATAACTATCAGAAAAATGATAATAAAATGCCTTCATCTAGAACATTCAAAATCATGTAACTGCCAGAACAAAATCAGAGATGCTAGTGATGTGTACCAAAGGAATATATATCTTTTGAGTTTATAAATTGTTACATTAAGCATATTCTTTAGTCTTCAGACTCATTTAACAATGTTTGGCTGAACTAGGGCAGTTGTGGCACACGCCTTTTGTCCCGGCTCTTGGGAGGCAGAAGCAGGCAGTTCTCTGTGAATTCAAAGCCAGCCTGGTTTACATAGGAAATTCCAAAACACCCATAGCTTTGTGGAAAAACTCTGTCTCAAAAAAGTCTGGCTGAAGACTTCGTGATCTGTAGTGACAAACAAAACTTGGTTTCCTTTCCTCTTTCTCAAAGCCTTGGGCTCGCTAGTGGGTTCTAGCAGTCCAGAGGTGTGGTGCTGAAGCAGACACCCCTGATACGCGCTGGTAGTGTGAGGGGACCTCACCATTGTTGTTTCTGCAGTGATGGGGATCAAACCAAGGGCCTTGTACATGCTAAGCAAATATGTTAACACAGCCCTAGTCCCTGCCACCTCTGTGTATATGGCAGTACTGAACAAGGTAGAGAAATTCCTTAGAAACCTTCAGAACTAATTTCCCACAACCTCCCCATGAAACACACTTTAAATCTTTTCCTGGAAGGAGCAAGACAGCCACCTTCTTGTTTGCTGAGGAATCTGGAAGTGAACACAGAGCGTCTGATGTCTGGTTGCTGGCCAGGGATTTTTCTCTTTGTTGTTATTTTCTTCCTGTCTCAGAGGCCTGTGGGGTACAAATACCCATTTTTTTTTAAGATTAACTATCAACCTTTTCATTTTGTACATGGGGAAATCAAAGTAAAGAAACTCCAGGGGCCAAATTCCCCAAAGAGGAATCATTTTCTTGATAGAGAATTGTGTTCCTTCCCAGTTTTTCCACAGACTAAGATCTGTGAACTTGGTCTGGAAGTTAATTTGGAGTTGAATAAAGTCTGTGGTTTCACTAAAGACATTAAAAGTCTTCCTATGTCTCAAAGGAAAAGTACAATAACCAAAAGCTCAGCCCCTCAGATTCTCTCTTACGCAATGGACTGGCCTAAAATCAAACCAATGCGCTGTGAGCTAACATTTGGGTATTGTTTTACTGTGTTCCCCAAGTCGACATGATATTAAGAATTCCCTGGGTTGTACTCCAAACCTATAGTCACAACTCTGGGCAGGCACCTGGGAGTCAGAATGTTTGGCAAGTACCTTGGATGACTCTGATCAGTTTGGGGAAATGTTTTGGAGGAGATATTGTTATCAACTTCATTTTTCAGTGAAGGGCACTGGGGCTTGGAAGGGTTAACTGGCCCAAAGCATTGGAAAGATCTCTCTCTCTCTCAGTGTCCTTAGCCCAGAATATACATGATTAGCCATTTTTTCTTATTCAAATTGAAAATTAATTTTTGCCTCATGTACTCTGGCCAAACAGTTGTCCACAAAACAACCCTTTGACTTTAGCCTATTGAGACAGAATTTAAAAATACGGATTGAGTTAGAGTTTTACAGGTGGTTAAATGAACATTGTTTACCCCTGGGAAGAGTATTTGATATTTGGCTCTAACATCTGTATGTTTTGTTTTAGTTTATATTCTATATACAAATACTATCAATATTGACAACAGGAATAAATTCACATATGATGCTTCGATCAGCCAAGACATTAGGTAAAGTATTATTATATACTTTACATATTATATTATATTGTATTATATAGAGGTTTGTTTGAGAGAAAATGCAAATAGAATATTAATGGAGGGTTGTGTAGACATGTCTTATGGACTGCAGGAACTGGCTCATACATGACTTCTTTTCATTAATGAATTGCATATAAATTCTTCTTTAACTGCATTATTGGTTCATATAATTTAATAAAAACATATGAAAAGAATCCCCAAAAAGCCAGGTCTTTCCCTTCTACCAGTATATTCAGAATAATAGGATGATTCTGCTGGGTCTGGTCGTCCAGAGACCAGGCCCTCTTTCTCCTACTGCTTCTCTAGTCCACAGGCCTTTGTGCCTGCAGGGTAGAAACTGCTCTGTACCAAAGTCTACCTAACACGAGAGAAATTGCTCGTGTCCACAGTCTAACCAGCTAGCAAGAAGAAGTTGGAACGTGGGGACAGGAGGACAAGCAGCTCTTCTTTAAGGACAGATGTATCATTGTAATGCACACTCCATAGGCTCGAGCTTAATTACGGGAGACACAGGAGTGACAGAACCTCGAAAATCATCTTTTTCTGGCTGGCCATGATTTTAGTCAAAAGTCAGGAATTATGTTGACAGAAGAATGAAGGAGAGAATGGGCACAGGGAGATGCTTCCCAAGCTCTGCTGGCGCTGCTTATCTTTAAAAAGAATTTGAATTCAAAGACAAATGTAAACATAGAGACAATAAAATCACAAATGGGGACATTTAATAACATCTAAGAGGAATCTGAAGCTACTATAATATAATTACATGAGAACGGTGAAATAACAAACATAAAGAGAAATCCAGCAGAAGAGCATTGGTAGCGGTGGGAACAAGGGGGAGGGGTGAAGCTGGGGTGGGAACTAGGCTAATGCCTTCATTTCTCCTTTTTGATCGCAGGTTTGTGTGCTCTCTCCCTCCCAAGACAAATGGCTGTTCGAAATGCCATTGAACACATACAGCAGAATATACAGAATGCAATAAATTTATTTAAAACAGAAAAAATTTTAACAAATGTTAACTGGAATGTAGTAGAAGAAAAAGCAAATATTGGATACAATCCTGTGAGTTGATAGACTTGATAGTCATCTTATTCTCCCCCTCTGGGTCTTCCTGTCTTCCCTGACTCAGTATTAGAGACAGCTCAGTGGGTAGAGTGCTCGACACACAAGCATGGAGACCTGAGTTCGATTTCCAGAGCATACATGGAAAAGCCCGGTGTGAGGGTACTTGCTAGTAATTCCAGTTCTGGGGAGCCCTGGAGTTCACAGGACAGCCATCCTAGCCTCATCTGTGAGCTTCTGCTTCCAGTGAGTGACTGTTTCAAAAAGTGAATGTCTAGAATTGTCAAAGAACAAATTTAATTAGTAAAAATTCCTTTGAAAAGTAAACCAAAACCAAAACCAAAGTGGTTCTTCTGAGGTGATCTCTGTCCTCCACACACATGTGCACACATGTACACACACATACACAAACTTACATCTGTGTACATACACATATGCACAAACGTGACTCTACTAACCAAATACTGGAAAATAGAGGGGGAGATCTATGAAATCTATTAACTTTGATGTCCTGGTGAAGCAACTTCTTTGAATTCTGTCCCTAAAAGAAAGTCTTCATGATTGGCCTTTATATTAGATACAAGGAAAATGGATGTTTGTTCAAAATGGCTGGTTAAATTCCAGACAATGACCTCGGCTAAGATGACGCTTCCAACAGGTAGAGATCCTGAGAGATCTCTGTGTTTTATAAAAAGTAGAAACCACAGGCTTAAAGGGTAAACTGGCTTCTAAATCTCCCAAAGGAATATTTCCTTCATGGCAATTGAAATCAATGGTCTAATATTGTGATTCTTTTAAAGAAAATGCTCCCCCAAAGGGAATGGCACTATTAGGAGGTATGGCTTTGTTCGAGTGGGTGTGGCCTTGTTGTAGGAAGTGTCTCACCGTGGAGGAGGGCTTTGAGGTCTCCTATGCTCAAGTTACACCCAGTGTCTCAGTTCACTTCCTGTTGCCTGCAAGAGGTAGAACGTAGAACTCCCAGCTCCTTCTCCAGCACCACGTCTACCTGCTTGCCTCCCACAATGATGATAATGGACTAAACCTCTAACTGTAAGCTGCATATTAAATATTTTCCTTTATAAGAGTTGCCATGGTCATGGTGTATCTTCACAGCAATAGGAACCATAACTAAGACACATATGGCAAAGCATTAATCAAGTTATATACAGCTTATTGCTGTAGCAATTCTGAGCGAGTTACTAAAATCTTTGTTAAGTACAATGTTTATCTTGTTTTAGCTTATTTTCAACTTTGTCTCTTTAGATTTTAAAACAGACGCACACTGTTCAGGTTTCCTCTTTTCATGGTCCAAAAGAGGAGTCCCCAACAGATGAAGTTTTAATAGAAGAGGCCAGATTGCATGTAGCTATAATACAAATGGTTGGTATTATTCAAACAATATTATTTTTTTTGTCTCACAAGCCTTTAATCCTTATAGTTTTTGGGTAATTAGAAAACCTTTTTTGTCTTCTGAAATAGTCTATAGACTGTCAAAATTAGTCTTTGAGTTACAGAAATTTATTTATTTGGTATGTGTGTGTGTATACGTGTGTGCGTGTGTGTGCACTGTGGAATAAACCTTCTATACACTGTATATATGTATTATTCTCAGCGGTTAGTAAAAAGCTGATTGTCCAGTAGCTAGGCAAGAAGTATTAAGTGGTACAAGCAAACTGAGAGAGATGGGGTGAAGTGGGGCAGAGTCAGAGGAGTCGCCAGCAGATACAGGGAGAAGCAAAATGAGCATGCCATACTGAGAAAAGGTACCAAGCCACATGGTAGAACATAGATAAAAAATGTGGCTTAATATAAGTTTAAGAGTTAGCTAGTCACAAACCTGAGCTATCGGCCAAGCATTTGTAATTAATATAAGCCCCAGTGTGTTTATTTGGGAGCTGTTGGCCAGACAAAAACTCTGCCTGCATGTGCTGGAGGTTGACAATGAGTGTCTTTCTCAATTGCTTTTCAATTTTATTTTTGGAGACAGTTTGTCTTACTGAATCTGAAATTCACTGATTGGTTAGGCTGGCTGGCCAGCAGGCCTGGGGCATCCTCCTGTCTCTACTCCCCATTGCTGGGAGTACAGGCTGGAGCTGAGCTGAACTGAACCCTTCACAGGGATGCTGGGATCCAAACTCAGGTCCTGTGCATGTAAGGCAAATGCCTTACTGATGGTGTCATCTCTGCAGCCTGAGTTATTAAAACTTAACAAAACCAAGTCTTCCTTCTTTGGGCTTTGAGTTCAGGTTACAAACATTTTGTTTCTAAGACTAGTAAGTTTTATCTGTCACGTTGTGGCCCTTTACTAGTAAGTTTTATCTGTCACTTTGTGGCCCTTTAAACAGCTGAAAAGTTTTATTTTGTTTTTGAGACAGGGTCTCAGTAGGTATCCCAAGCTGATCTTGAACTCATGATTCTTCCGTTTCAGTCTCCCAGGTGCTGGGATTGCAGGCTTTTGTCACCACGTTCAGCTGAAACTGCTTTTTGGAAATGGAATACATTGTGTTCCTCTTATATGAGATTCCCCTGGCTGCTTATTTAACTTCTAGTAGTGTAATAAATTGACAGAGCCCATGACGTGCCAAGGCTGAGACCTGGTGTTAGTAATTATAGTGTGAGTTATGCAAGAACCAGGAAGCCCACGATGGGAGTTGGCAAGTCAGCTGCTCAGTGGGTAAAGGCCCTTGTCTTCTTGCCTGAAGACCTGAGTTCTATCCCCTGGACCCACTTAGTGGAGGAGAGAACTATTCCTATGAATTGTCTTCTGGCCTTCTTGTGCTCACACACATAATAAATAAATTAAAAAAACAATGAAATAAAATTGTAAGAGTAGCATAAGCTATTTTATATTTTTTCTTTCTTTTGAAGTAAGGTTTCACTGTAGCTTGGGCAGTCCTGGAATTCATGATAATCCTCCCGCCTTTCAAGTGCTGGGATTACAGGCGTGAGCCGCAGTTCTCAGCCATTCCATTAATGTTTTGATCCTTTGTAATTTTTATTTCAATATGAATATATGTAAATATTTATAAGTATAAAATACTAAAATATCAAAACTGTTTCAGAGCAGCTTTGAAAAGCAGTGTAATGATGGGGTCCTTGGGGTAGAGGCGGCCCGGATATTAATTGGTGCAACCAAAAGCTACTGCCCCATCCACGGAAAGTAAGTGAGACACTTCTTTATTTGTATTTTCCCAGACTGAATGAATTTGTGGCTATGAACAAACTGAGAATTAAATGTCCGGATTAACCAATCTATCATCTTGGCTCTCTCTGTGTCCATCTATTTGTCCACCTGTACCCTCATCCGTCTGTCCAATAACATTTTCCCTCTTCTCACTCCCGCTCCTTTTCTTTCCTCCCGCCCTCCTTCCTGCCCTCCCTCCTTTAGTCCTCTCTCCCTCTTTCTTTTTTCTACGCTGGGTCTTGAACATGCTTGGTAAACTCTCCTCATTCTCTATATCCCTACCCCAAATTTATCTACTCTGAATGCCCCTCTTTATTCTGCCTCCCACGTTCATGAGTTTCATAACTTTGGAGATGATCAGACTTTGATAAGAGACAAGGGAATCCATGAATAAGATTCCATAGAGCAGCCCGGGCAGCGGTGGCGCACGCCTTTAATCCCAGCACTCAGGAGGTAGAGGCAGGTGGATCTCTGTGAGTTTGAGGCCAGCCTGGTCTACAAGAGCTAGTTCCAGGACAGGCACCAAAAACTACAGAGAAACCCTGTCTTGAAAATCAAAAAAAAAAAAAAAAAAAAAAAAAGATTCCATAGAGCTTTAATTGCTCTTCTAAGTATTTTGCTTTTGTATCATATTCTCTAAGTTATTGGAAAAAGAACAGCAGCCTGGATTTTGTTCATAGATTGCTCTCCGGGGATAGAATGAGCTCTGGAGTAGTTGGCCTAAATGATGGTATAGCTAGATGCCATGCAGTGTGGTGGGAAAAGCTCATTGTCTTAAAGATGTATCAATATCCGGTCACTGTCCTGGCTAGCATTCGTGAGTGGGTATCTGAGACAAAACTGTGAGTCAGTGGCAGAGATAACAACTGGGTGGTGATTACTATATCAGGAGTCTGGTCATCTCTATGGGAGACCTATCATTGGCCTGGGGATTATATTTGGGAAAGCTGGGGCATTCAGTTGCCTTTAGGGTCGCGTAACATGAGATAAAGGAAGCTTAGTTCTAGAACTCCTAAGGGGGCTGGTCTAGAAAAACTTTAATTAGGTCCAGTCTCAGGTCAGGAAGGGTTCTAGGAACATGGGCACAGGAGTCTCAGGCTAAAAGTGTTACTGAAATATGACCGCGGATATGGAGAGGTGCAGGAACTAAGGGCTAAGACAGCATATTCAGTAAGCCGACATTAATATTTAGTATATCTTCCCCCTTTATTGTCCTAACTGAGATACTATTTTTAACAACACACATGTGTTTTTCTTAGATTCATGAGTATTTCTGATGTTTCAACTTATGTGAGAGCTAGAAGTTGGCTTATAAAGTTTAAAAACATGTTAACTTACTTGGAATATCACAAAGAAAGGATACTTTTCACTGTACCTGGGTAAGTATTACGAACCTTTAAGAGCATCATACCCAGAATATCACCACTGCAACGCTTTTAGAGTAGATCCCCCTTCTATTTAAACTAATTTTGTGACAGATGTTTGCAGGTTAAGTAGTGACTGAAGAGTGTGTTTGCCTCTTCTAGCTCAGCAACTTCACTGACATCCTTATAGAAGATGATGGCATTTTAGGACTAGCTCGTATACCACATTTCTTGCACTACTCATCTGGGTAGAGGACTGGGAAAGCGTGAGCCATACCTGCAGTGGCTCAAATCGAGCCCAAGGCAACCTTGTTTGTTGGATAAATGTCTAAAATTAAGGGAAAATCAACTGTACCTTAAGAATGCCTGATTTTCCAAAATATTATTAAATACATGCTTTGCTTAGCCTGGGTAGAGTTTTTACTTTGTTATATAGACCGTGAACTTATATAATTTTAGAGCAGGAAAACAGCTTCTCTTTTCCAAAAGAGGACGCAAAACCAAGAACATACAGGGAATATTTTCTGCTTTCTTCCATTGAATAAATTTAAAGAGAACATAAAAAAGTAAACCCTTAGCATCCTGACGTATGTTCAAGAGCATTGTTTCTCATTGCTGTAATGGGATTCTGGACACAAAACAGCTCAAGAAGGAATAGCTTCAGCTCACAGTTTGAGGGGCATAGATCGTCATGGCAGAGAAAGGGTGACCCTGGGAGAGTAAGGCTGCTTGTTCAGATCTGGGAGCAGTGAGAGAGGATGTTTTTCTGCCTCTTTCTGCTTCCCTTCCCCCTCTCTTCCTCTGTGCACCCACCGTAGTCACACCTGCTGTGTGTTGATGATTCCAACAGCCATGCCATATCCAGAAGATAGCGCCCCACAACATCCGTCTTCATCCTTTGGTTCTCACAGTCCTTGCACCTCCCATCCAAGATGTTCCTTGAGCCTCAGAGGAGGCGGCATCAGTGTCCCATTTGAGGCCAGACACTCAGCAGTGCCTTATTTTGACCAGTCATGAGTCCCACTTGGACTGTAGAAGATAGAGGCCGAGAGCCGTGTGAGTCTATGAGAATACACATATATATCTGGAAGGCATTTGACAAAGCATCAACTGCAGGTCCACTGGGAGGACTGGGAGCTCCTGGCCATGGGCTTTTGGCTAGATCTATAATGGTAGGCATATATGCCGTCTAGGGGAGTGGGCCTCCAATCTAATCAAGATGTGGTGTTTCTCTCAGCACATCCATGCCAACATTGAACCAGTGGGCATATCTTGCCAGGCAGTTTATCACGAACACCCTCAAGGTCCACAGCTGCACTTGGTTGTTGATGACTTTTCTCCGTTGACAGCCTAGATACCACGTTCTATCACTGTGAGTGAGAGCCGCAGGGAGGAAGAGGCCAGCTCAGTTTCAGCTTTACCTCTTTGTGTTCTGTGTCCAGAGTGGATGTTGTCTTCAGCGATAAGGATTTAGAAATGTAGAATATCTAGTTCTAGTGGTTAAGCAGGAACAATGACAATAGCCTTTGTATTGTTTTGGAAGCCTCTGGGAGCTGCCTAGGCAACAAGTCATAAGGAAGAAATCTCACAACCAAGATGTTTTTTAATCCAATCAAGTTGGCCAAGTAAACAGTTATCATATCCAGAAACCTCTTTTGTTCATTTCTATTTTGGATGGATTAGAAAGTTTTAAGAAATGAGCCGGGAGGTGGTGGCGCACGCCTTTAATCCCAGCACTTGGGAGGCAGAGGCAGGCGGATCTCTGTGAGTTCGAGACCAGCCTGGTCTACAGAGCGACAGGCTCCAAAGCCACAGAGAAACCCTGTCTCGAAAAACAAAAAAACAAACAAACGAAAGTTTTAAGAAATGAATATGGTAATTTATTTTTTATTTTTATTTATTTATTTATTTACTTATTTTTGTTTTTCGAGACAAGGTTTCCCTCTGTAGCTTTGGTGCCTGTCCTGGAACCAGCTCTTGTAGACCAGAACTTTGTGAGTTCTGGCTTCGAACTCACAAAGATCCTCCTGCCTCTGCCTCTTGAGTGCTAGGATTAAAGGCATGTGCCACCACTGCCCGGCACGAATATGGTAACTGTTGAATATTTCTCCCATTTAAAATTTTTTTCCCATTTAAAAATTTTAAACAATGCTAATGAATAACATATATTCCTCTATGTTTATTGTTTCTTGCTTTTAATTTATTATATACATTAACAGAGTCAGCCTTTTCTCTTCCTCTACTATAATCTCTATGTAAAGTATGCTAGTTATTATTATTAGTAGTAGTATTTTGTTTTTTGGAGACAGGGTTTCTCTGTATAGCACTGGCTACCCTGGAACTCATTCTGTAGACCAGGCTGGCCTCAAACTCAGTGATCCACCTGCGTCTGCCTCCTAAGTGCTGGGACTAAAGGCCTGGCTGTAGGCTTTTTTTTTTACTTATGTATTTAATATTATGTCTAGTTTGATTTATTTAGACTGATGTTGGCCTTCACTGCTTACTTGTTATACTTTAAATGACTTGATATTATTTGCTCTTATTTTTTTCCAGGAATAATAAATTTCTGATTTTTGTCTATCGCATTATAATTTCAGAAGAATTTGAATATGCCACATATGTTGTATCAGTAATGTATATTTTCCCTATGATAATACACATATGGCCAACTGCAAGAGAGCTAAATATATCAGCACTGATATCCATAAACTACTATTTTATGTTTTTATACACATTAGAATCAGCACTGAAGGTACTGTGGAAAATAGAAATATATTGTACAAAAAAGAATAATTCAGATATTTTGAATCCATTTTCTGTTATCTTATTATCAAAATAACTTGATACCAGAAGCTATTTGTTATTGCAGCTGATGGATCCTGGGATGTTCACAGCCTTGGTGCCAGTCTTGGCCATTGGTTGCATCTCATCATAGTAGAGAGACTCCCAAGGGTTAGGTGACAGAAAACTGGTATTTCAGGCATAAACGCTTCCCTCAGATGATTCATGGAATGTGTAAGCAAATACACATGAATTGGCTTGAGAGTCACGTGCCTGGACAGGAGACTCAGTGATGGTAACTGACGGTGCTTCATTAATAGTATTGCAGCAAGCTTGTCTACTGCCTTGAAATTATTATTTTGGTTTTGCAGCTCCATTATAGATGCTATATTTTGAGTCTCACTAAACATTTTGATGTGTATTAATAATTTGGGGGAATTCCAGACAAGTAGCTTAAAATTCAGAGTTTAGAATACAACTCATGGGACTGGAGAGATGGCTCAGAGCTTAAGAAGGGGCAGTGCCCTCTAGAGGGTCTGAGTCCAGTTCCCAGCAAACACACTGAGTAGTTCACAATTAGCCATTGTAGACACAGTTTTTCCTGTCCCGTCAATCAGCTCTATCCCGCCAGCCGGCTCCTAAGTAACCACACAGAAACTTAATATTAATTATAAAAGCTTGGCCGGTAGCTTAGGCTTATTTTTAGCTAGCTCTTGTAACTTCAGTCAACCCATTTCTATTACGCTACGTGATCCTCTGACTCCATCCTTCTTCTCCCCAGTCTTCTCTCTGCCCTGGCTAGCTATCAGTCAATCTTTTTTTTTTTTTTAATTAAAAAGGACAGCAACACATTTTCACAGTACACAGAAGGATTATCCCACAGAAATCCATAACTGTAACTCCAGATCCAGGGTATCAGATGCTCTGTTCTGGACTCCACGGGCACCTGCACACAGGTAGTGTGCGTAAACATATGCTCAGGTGAACACACACATACACATAAAACAAAAAGGTCACACCTAGGGTGTAACTCACTTCTAGCTAACTTACAAGTTTAAATATTTCCCTCTCCCCTATGTCAATATATAGTTGTTATGGAGTAACATATATTCTGTTTGTGTTTTTAAACAGATAATGATTTTAAAAAAAAAGTACTTTCTTCAGAATTGGAATACTTTGGATTTTTTCATCATAGTTATGGGAATCGTTGATATATTGTGCATCTACTTTGTCAAGCTGAGACCAGACAGCTTGATTCTGATCCAGTTTACAGTGGTGATAGGATATTTAAGAATAATTAGGTTTCTTCCTATCTTTAAGGTAAGGGTTCCTATGCTAAAATACTGGTTCGCTGCATGGTTTACTAAGTGAGTTAGTAAGCTTCACTCTTTTGAGAAAATGAGAGAAGGAGCTGTCTCTTTCAGAATGTTCTTCAAGCAGAGTTTCTTGGGTTTACTTAACAGAAGTATGGGTGAGGCTTTACTTACAGAGGTGACTCAGAATTGGCAGGTCAGTTTCTTTCCCCAGCAGGCCTCACCATTACATAATCTGGGGAAGAGGCCTTGTGAGCCTTGTAAATTTCAGGGACTTTCTGATACTTGTGAGTGGTTTATACTTTCTGAGTCTTAAGGAGACTTCCTCCAGAATAGAATGTTTCATTTTAGAGGAGATGGTTAAACAAACACAAATCTATTGAGAGTGTGCCCACCAGTTCTCAATCAGGTAGTTAACCCTTCTGTCTTGTACTGCCTGAACAAAATCATAGTAAAGTGTATTTAGTAAATCAATATTATTATATAGTTGGGTTTTTTAATTAAGCACTTACTTTTTTCCAGGAACTGGGGCAAGTACTTTATATACTTTATCCAGTTAAACTCTTACAATAACCTTCTGGGGTAGGTGTAACTTCTACATAAAGTTAGGTGCCCTAAAAATTAGACTCAGTCCAACGTGACTTCAAAAAGAAACATCTCTGCCTTGGCAAAGGTTGGGAAAACATTGGAGATCTTTATTTTAGATGCCCTAGGCATCAGTGGTCAGCTCAGGGGGTGTCAGTCTATCACAAGAGAAGACTTTGAAAACATTTTCTTTAAACAAAATCCCTCTACACCCAAGTTTGTAATCAAATGGCAGCTTATACGTCCCAACTCTGTTCTTTTAATTCTGGCACCATGGTACTATTTTCTTGTTACTTTCTCCTCTACTGATATTGAGTCTCCCACCAAATGCTCCTGTGCTCTGACCCAGCATGGTCTCTATGGGAAGCACCTTGCTGTGACAGTTGGCTTTGGAGCAGTGGCTCCATTGGGTTCCTAGGCTTTACATATTAGTTTCATTTTGCTTAGGAGGAAACGGAGTCCTCAGAGTCACAGGGAGTTTGCTGAAGGTCACAGAGACGGCGGCTGGAGAGATGGTATAAGTCTTAACTCTTAAGTCCCTGCATTAGGTGGCCGCAGCCTAAAAGTAGAGAAATGTAGAACAAGGAAGGAAGGAGGCCTGCATGGTGCAGAGAGAGCGTTTATTCCTCAAAGCTGTTGCTCAGCGCCCTGGGCCACCACTTCTGCTTTCTGATATTGAAGAGGAGAGAGACTACGGTACAGGGACTGGGACTCCACCTAAAGCTACAGTCAATTATTCACAGAGCTTTGACTTTCGGGAGTGGTCACAAACCCAAGTGTGTATGGATGCAGTCAGTGGCCCGCTGACCACACACCACAGTGTCTGACACTGAACTTCTGGACAGGACCAAATTCTGCATTTCTAGAAAGTTCCTGGACATGTTTTTTGCTGGCCTACATTTGACACTTGGAGAATTTCTGCCAGAATGGGTGTTTTCCTCATGATTTTTTTTTTTGTTAAAAAATAAATTAACACACAGTATTAGATTTCAATCTAGGGTTTTCAAATAAAACTATATTTTTATTAATTTTGCTCCCTCCTCTACCATCCCATTGCCTCTTCTTGTGCACCCCAGTCTTTTTTCTACTTTTCTGTCCCAGGGCTCTGTTGCCTCCTCTGCCTTGCTCAGTGCCTTTAATTCCCTCCTGTGGTCTCCACAGCCTGTACCTACACTCTCTCCTGCTTACGTGTATGCCCATAGCATTGTAAACTCGATCCTCATGAAAGAGAAAACACTTAATTAAATGCATGCTTTTTCCTTCACCTTATTGCTTCAGATTATAATACCAATACTAATAAATATTGCGGACGTACAGATCAAGAAGAGCCTCAGTTTGATGTACAGTATTACAAAAGGCTATGTCAAAAGTCAGGAAGATGCCAAACTTTTGGTCAGGCAAATTTCTGGTCGTGAATCAATCTATCAGGTGAGAAACAGGCAGAGGATGGGGTGGATGGGAATTACCTTACCTAGGTATATTCATGTCTTTAGGATCAGCTTGTCAGGTATGTGACCAACAGACAGATCTCAGTAGTCAAACAGGTTCAAATGTTTGTTAAACAAGGTTCTTCAGAGAAGAGTGTAAACTTTCATGTGTGTATGTGTGTGCATACACGCATATGTGGGTGTATGGTTGTGTGTGTATGCACTTGGGTGTGCTATGTGAGACCCTATCTCAAACAAAATAAGACAAGACACAACAAGCAAAAGCAATAATGATGATGATTACCCACCAAAAAGAGAACTGAAAATGCTGAACAAAGCCAAATGTGAGCTGGGCACTCACGGAGCCTCATGGTGAAGCTGATGGTCGTGGAAACAGTGCTGGTAGTGAGATGGGTGTAATGAGTGAGTCGCGGTGAGTCACTGGTCCAAGAAGAGCTGGCAAGTAAAAGTGACTCAGCTTGCTCCCGCCCAGCCAGAAACAGCCCCTGTTAAATGTAATGCTTAGCCCTCTGCGTGTTCTCTAGCCCTCTGTTGCGTTCCTTCTGTTCATTTGCAGACCCATTAAAATGTTGCTTTAATTTTTTGACCACCATTTTGATTATTTCTTTCTCCAAGCAATGGTTTCTCTCTTTCCCTCCCTCCCTCCGTCCCTCCGTCCCTCCCTCCCTCCTTCCCTCCCTCCCTTCCTCCCTCCTTCCCTCTCTCCCTCCCTCCTTCCCTCCCTCCCTCCCTCTTTCTCCCCCCCCCCGTCTCTTGAATCTCATATTTATTTGAAAAGTTTCTGTTTCCTGCACGACTTCTGCTCCCTTGACGTCCCATTTCAAAAGTGGGAATTGTTTCTAGGTTATACTGGACTACACAGTGAGTTCTAGGTTGGCTGAGGCTACACAATGGGACCCTTTCCCTCCCCTGCCATAGCCCTCCCCAAACAGAAAACAAAGACACAAAACAGAGAATGTGGAGAAGTTCACAGAGGCTTTAGAGGGAGGAAGATGAGAGAAGACAAACCGGGGAGGGCGCTAAGGACGTTTGGAGACATTTAGGAGCTGGCAGAGGGATCTGGAGGAGTTGCCTTGATAGCTAAGGTAGAAAAGAAGCCTCCATTGGCACTTTAAAGGGAGAGATGACCCAGTGGTTAAGAGCACTGGCTGTTCTTTCAGAGGCTCCAGATTCATTTCTCAGCAGCACATGGCACCTCACAGGCATCTTTAGCTCTAGCTCCAGGGATGTGATGCTGGCATCTAGTCCCCCAGGTACCAAGCACTCATATGGTGCAGACATAAATTTGGACGAAACACCCCTACACATGAAAGAAAATAAAAATTCAGAAGCAGAGGACTTCAGTAAAGACTTCAGTGACTTTTTGAGATATGTATTAGGTAGCTGCTTCTTCTGAAGTGACTGGGTTGTTTTTTTAATTTTTTGTCTCTTTGTTCTTTGGGGGGGCACCACCCAGCTCCCAAATAAATACACGGAGGCTTATTCTTTCTTATGAATGCCCAACCTTTGCTTGGCTTGTTTCTAGCCAGATTTTCTTAATTTAAATTATCCCATCTACCTTTAGCCTCTGGATTTTTATCTTTCTCTGTTCTCTATATCTTTCTTTACTTCTTGCTCTGTGGCTTGCTGTGAAGCTGGGTGACTGGCTCCCTGGAGTCCTCCTCCTTCTTGTTCCTCCTTGATTTCCTTTTCCAGATTTCTCTTCCTATTTATTCTGTCTGCCAGCCCTACCTGTCCTCGTTCCTGCCTTGCTATTGGCTCTTTATTTGACCAATCAGGTTTTAGACAGACAAAGATACACAGCTTCACAGAGTTAGACAAATGCAGCCTAAAAGAATGCCACACATCTTTGCGTCATTAAACAAATGTCCCACAGCATAAACGAATGTAACACATCTTAAACTAAATTCCACAACACCGGGTGTTTCTGGAAACTGGCCTATGGCAGTTTACCTGCAGTGAGGTGACCGACATTGCCTCTCTGGTAGTGGTGTCTTTGAAGGCAGGAGGTACTGTTGCCCAGAATCTCAGTGTGAACATAAATTCAATTCTGCACAAAGGAGACTTAGCATAATTCAAAAAGGGCTGGACATGAGTATGTTGGTGCCATAAGATGTCTAATACTAATACTAATATCGAAGTGTTTCATAAAAGATGACATATCTCATTTGCATATACAAAGAAAGGGATTTACTAGGTGTAAATTTTTTAAAAGTCCAAACAAACAAGAAAAAACAATTTCTTTTTGTTTAAGCTTCAGATAACAGACCTATTGTTTCCGATAAGCAGTATCTGAGTGCCTTTCAGGTGCCTGTATGTGGCAACCCAGGGGACTGTGCACTGTTGTCTCAGCGTCAGTGCGGTATCTGAGGGCATTGCAGGCACCCGCATGTGACAACACAGAGGACTGTGCCTTGTTGCCTCCGAGTTGGTGTGGCTAAGAAAACGCTCCAGAAAGACTGACAGCCGGAGTGAGCTTTATGAGGAACAGTGCCTGGGACACAGTGAGCAGCCCACAGTAGCTGTTGTGGGGTTGAAAAAGCAATCACACCATCTGTTTGCCTCAGTGTGGAGTTACTTCTCCGATTGTTTAAGGAGTGGCCTTTAGGAGCATGAACTCGTTTACAGAGCATGTCCACACCATTCCACTTGCTAATGTGCTCTTGGCAAAGTAGATCCCCAAATAGCTGTTTCCCTAGGCATGCATTCAAATTGGTCTCTGCCAATGAGAATTCTTAGTGGTGCACAGTGGAGTGAAGGGTACTTTCGTTCCTCCTTCCCTCCCTTCCTTCCCTCCCTCCCTCTTTGTTTCCTTTCTTTCTTTCTTTCTTTCTTTCTTTCTTTCTTTCTTTCTTTCTTTCTTTCAAAATAAAAACAGTTACAGTAAAGCAAGGTACTTAAGCAAAACATCAGCCTTGCACCATTCATAGCAATTTGAGTCCCAGTCTGGGGAATACAGCGAAATTCTTCTGGAAGACAAAAGCTCCCCTAGATCAAACTAAGTGAGACTTCCTTTGTGATGCTTCTCAGGTGATAAAACCAGGATTGTACTTGGTGTAATAAGAACCATTCCTTAATTTCTTACAGAAACTGTATGACATTCTAGAAAAAAACAAACGAGAGGCTATTAAAGAACTAGGTGAGTGGTTGGAGCATTTGCTTCTCTGTTTTGTTTTGCGAGTCTATAGATTTTATTTCTCTGTGCTTCAGAAGGCCAACATCCCAGATCATGGTCTATCGAGGTTGGTTTCTGGTGAAGCCTGGCTTCTTGGGGGGTAATTATGGCTGTCTCATTGCTGTGTCCCCATTTGACCTTTTCTGCATGGACAGAGGAACTCTGGTACCCAATTTCTCTTATAAGGATGAGAACCCATCTTTACACAGTGGGGACTCCACCGTTATGGTACCCTTTAAGCCTCATCACCTCTGTGAAGGCCCTTTTCTAAATATGGTCACATGGATTAGAGCTCCCACTCTGATTGTGGGTCACTGACAACACAATTCTGTTGGTGTCAGAGTGAAAAAGTTCTGGGAAGAAAAAAATTCCAAAGCGCCAGAGAACTCTCTGGAGGAATTCAACCACCGATGGGTATTTTCTCCTTCCTCTGTGGGCATACACTCTATTATTTAAGCTTTTCAACTCTCTTCAGTGAGCATTTGTCCTTTTGTAATAGGGAAGGTTGCACAGAGACGCAACCCCTGTCTCCCTGGGGGAGCCTTTTCTTGACAGATACTCCTCAGGGCTCTGTTGCTCTGCGGACAGCAGAAAAGTAAGACATACAGAAAGAAAGAAAGGTAAGAAGCTTCAGGCACAAGGTGGATAAAGAGGAACAGATTAACTTAAGTTAAAAGAGCTAGCCAGAAACAAGCCTAAGTTAGGCCACACATTCATAACTAGTAAGAAGTCTCCATGTCATGGTTTGGGATCTGGCAAGCAGCCTGAAAGAAGGAAGCCTGGTACAAAACATTAGAGAGAGCCTGGCAGGTGCTGTTTCAGTGTAGGGAAAAGATGGAGGCAGGGTGTCTGCTCAGATGGCAAGGTCAGGGCCCTCAAGGTTTTTAGGAAGAAACACACATGGGTTAGCTTTGACAAGAAGTTGTTTTGCTCAGCGTGGTTAGCTTGCCTGAGGCCATGTGGCTAATAGGTGGCAGTCAGATCTCTAGCTTTGGTGGATCTGGTACTAAAAATCTATGCTCTAGATCGTGGCTACCCTTTATTTTACTGGTCACCTCATTTTAGTGAAAAAAGATGTGTAAGTACCTTCCATACGTACATCAGACATGGTGCTCAACGTAAAGATGACACATAAAATGCTAATTTTGGCCAAGAGTCTAGCCCCTGACTTCTTGTATTATTACAAAGGAATGAGAATGCCACTTGATCTCACAAGACTTACCTAAGTCCAGATGTTCTTTCTAACGAAAGTCATCCATCCACCAAAGAATACATAGAGGATGAGGCAGAGATGTCAAAACAATACCCTAGTCAATTGAGTTTTGACACAGAAATAGGCAGTGAGATACCATGGGGATAAGACAGAGAGTGGTGTAGTTGTGGGGGAAACTAGTTTTCAATCTTCTCATCCATTTGATGGGATGCAAATTCACCCTACTAGCCCCAGGAGTTCTGCGAGAATGAAAGGCTATGGTACAATATTGGTTGTTATTGTGGTTACTGCGTAGGTTGCTTACCAAGTCTATTCTTTCCCAGGGCTCCTAGAGCACGAAGGACGCGATGTCGTCATTGCCCTGAAGACAAAGCAGGCCATCCGCCATGTGATTGCTAAAGCCCTGAAGAACCTCACCTTCCTCTGGTCAAGAGGCATCATTGACAAGCACGAGGGCATCGAAATGAATAAGGTAGTAATGCAGTCCCCACCTTGTGTGGTTCTGGAAGTTCAGGCGACCCAGGGTGTAATGAGAGGAGGAGTTTGGGGAAAGCGGTTAACCACAGGAGCTACCTTGACAATTCCGGGCATTCTTAATTCCCGTGGCAATCACAGCCAGTACTGCCTGGCATGCTCCAGCAGTTGGAACACCTTGACTTCAAGCGACTAAAGCCAACTGCAGTTAAATTCAGTGAAGAAGCAAGCATGGAGATTTAAAAAACGGGACTCAGAGGACTTGCAGGCTGTGTGCCCAGGCTTCAGGAAGGGACTTGAAGAAAGACTTAGAAAAATTTCAAGATTCCTTACTTCTTATCAGGATTGTCTCTGAAACTTTCCTCTGGCTTGTTAGCTAGACTCAGTAGATTGATTGATTGATTCCCTCTTCTCCATTTACTGGTAAAATTTGTATTGCACAATTTCACTGACAGGGGCATCTGTGGAGACCATAACATATTTGTAGGGGTCTCTCTCTCTCTCTCTCTCTCTCTCTCTCTCTCTCTCTCTCTCTCTCTCTCTCTCTCTCTCTGTGTGTGTAAGAGAGGGTAGGATGTAATAGTTGAATTATAAAGATGAGAAGTTTTATCTGAGTTAATAAGTGAAAATAAGAGGAAGGTAACAGGAACAAAAAGAGTATAATACACATGGCAGTGGGGAGTGGGGGTTGTGAGTCAAAGTCCGCACAGCACAATCATATTTAGTATTTAGATTTCCTTGGTTTTGACTTCATGCCTTTTTTTTTTTTGGCCACAGAAATGATCACCATAATTTCTCATGTTCATTTTTAGGTACTTCTTACAAAAATAAAAGCCTTGAATAACTTTCCAATGGCAATCCCACCTCCAACCCCAGACAAATACCTACCCAACATCGTTTGGATGGAAAATAAAGATGTTCTCATTGAGTTCTTCAAGGTAATAATGTCTTCTGTTCTGGTACAGGATGTAAACATTTCCCCTGCCCCGACCAATGACTAAAGAAATGCTTATCAGAAATAGGACTTTAATTAAATAAGCTTTTTTTTATTGAAGACATCAAAAATCCAATTTAAACAAGGAGAAAATGTTCTGAAGAATGTGGTTGCTTTCACAAGTGAAGAGCCACTTGGCTATCGTAGGTTGATTTGCTATAGCAAAGTACTGTAGACCAAGTGGCTTTCAAACAACCAAAATTTACTTCTCATGCCGGGTGGTGGTGGCACACGGCTTTAATCCCACTCGGGAGGCAGAGGCAGGAGGATCCCTGTGAGTTCGAGGCCAGCCTGGTCTACAAGAGCTAGTTCCAGGACAGTCTCCAAACCTATAGAGAAACCCTGTCTTGAAAAACAAACAAACAAACAAAAAAACCAAGCAAAACAAAACTAAAAAACAACAAAAAAAGAAAGAAAGTTCTCACAGTTCTGGAATCTGGGAAATCAGCTGGGAAATCCGAACTCAGGGCATGATCAGATGTGGTGTCTGGTGAGAGTCTGCGTCTGATTTATAAATGATTGTCTTCTGATCCTATCTGACAGAAGGAGCAAGAGGGCTCTATGGCGCTAATCCCAAACATGAGGACTTCACCCTTATGACCTAAGCACTTCCCAAAGGCTCTCTCTCCTAAAAGCCTCACGCTGGGGCCTGGGACTTCAGCATAGGAATTCTAGGGAGACACAATCATTCAGTCTAAAACATTAGCCATCCTTGGGCAGGGTGGAAAGACCTAACAGAAATTTGTGAACATTTTTTTTCTTCTAATGCTTGGGTACAAGAAATAGGTTCTCAAATCCTAGTTTTGTGCTTCAGTTCGGACTCTTGGGAAGTTTGGTTGGTGTAGCTTGTAGCAGCTGTCCAGAGGGAAGCCTTGTTGGCGGAATCTTCTGGGGGTGGTTTGGAAAACAGATGGTGTCTAATAATGGGAGAGGGCTAGCCTGAGACTGGGAAGAAGCAATTGAAGGGTGCTTGTTAAAGCTCGCATCCCCTGAAGGTTTTTATTATTTTTTTAAACAGAGTTTTAAGATAAAATTAGAATTTGGTTCCTTATAGGTAGTAATTTTCACAATGATTGACTGGCCAGACAGCAATGAACTAGGAGCCATGGTAAAAAGGATGAGAAGGTAACGCCACATGCTAAGGACAGACAAACATCTTTATGGACAGCTCAGGCACGGCCTTTCTCCCCTCCACAGTTAGTCACACTCTGCAGGGCTGGTGGGTTTTCCCCCTCTGCCTACAGATGCAATGCGCTGATTAGGTGGCTCCTAACTTTCCTAAGTTTTGCCATCTAAGTCAGATTTCGCCAGGCTAAAACTCACACCAAGTTAGAAACTTGTGGTTGCCTTTTTAATCAGCAACAGCCCAGCACTCTTGCCTGGGTTGACAAATCCGCAAGGCAAAAGAGCAGAAGCATCTCTTATTGTAGATGAGTTCATCCTCACTGTCTGTCCTAGCTACGAGGAGCCAACATTGCAGAGCTAACTTTCTCTACTGCTCCCTGCTTCCAACTCCCAATAGTTAGTTAATTGCAATGGCAATTATCAGTCTGGGGAGACGGCGCAGTAGGTAAAGCATGTGCTGTGCCAGCGTGAGGACCTGAGTTCAGATCACCAGAACCTGTGTGAAGTGGGGTGTAGTAGCACATGTCTATAGTCCCAGTGTCCCACGGTGAGAGAGAAGGCAGAGACAGGTATTCCTGCCAGCTCCTAGATCAGCTGTCTTTGAGTATGAAGAAGTGAACAATGAAAAAGAGACCTTGTCTCAAACATGGTAGAAGGTGAGGACCAAGACCTGGGACTGTCCTCTGCCCTCCATACATGGACTGTGCGTACACACACACACACACACACACACACACACACACACGAGAATAGTCTATAAAGATCAGTGTAAAGAGGTTGGTAGAAAACCAAGGCTGAAATAATACATAAACAAGTCATTAACCTTAGATCCCTTGGATTTCTAGCTGTAGCCTTGCCAGTGCTTGTGCATCATCACACAGTTGAGAACCGCGTAGAGTGCGGGGTGAGAGCTGTTTTTCTCAACTTCACGCTCTGAGACAGCCAGTATGGGTGATTTGGAAACCTGTTGATTGCATTTATTTCTCAAATGACAACTACCACCATAGTTTTCCTATTACAATCCCTTCACTAGCTCACTTTGTTTAAAGCCCAAACTCTTTTCTACGCTCATGAGCATCTTCAAGACCTGGATCTGGACTTGGTTATGCTATGACTTTTATGGGGAGGGGACTTAAGCAATTTTGCTTTTGTAGGCCTGTTCCTCCACAAAAATATGTGGAAAATTCTACTTTGTATCTGTTGGTGTTATTATAAAAATAAGGATATTAGACTGGGGAGATGGGAAAGTGTTTGCCATGGCCTGGCATGTGGACCCGAATTTGAGTCCCTAGAATGCACGTAAAGCTGGACATGGTAGCATGCCTCTGTAGTCCCAGCTTGTGGTGAGATGGAAGGCAACAGGAAAATTCCTGGAAGCTTGTGGCCAGGAAGCCTAGTGCACACAGTGTCTCAAGAGACCCTGTCTCAAACAAGGTGCAAGGCCAGGACAGACACCCAAGATTGTCTTCTGACTTCACACACAAATACACAAACACATACACAGACACACATTATACATATCAACTCACACATCATACACACTAAAAATGAATAGATTAAAGCATTTTCTTTATAAAAAACTTTATTCTCATTACTCTTTTAAAAGAATTTGGGGCTGGAGAGATGGCTCAGTGGTTAAGAGCATTGTCTGCTTTTCCAAAGGTCCTGAGTTCAATTCCCAGCAACCACATGGTGGCTCACAACCATCTGTGATGAGATCTGATTCCCTCTTCTGGCATACAAACATACATGGAAGGAATGTTGTATACATAATAAATAAATAAATCTTTAAAAAAAAGAATTTAAACATTTCTGTGAGTATATAAAGTATGTGGAGCCCCAGATACCTACAATATTCTGATGCCTAGGGATTGCTAAGTCTGGTCTCTGTCTCTGCTTGAGATATACTTAATATTCTGCAGTTATCTCAACTGTATATATTGTATTTGCTACTAGGTCTTTTCACATGTATCTGCTATCTGCTGCTCTTCTTTCGGGATCCAGCTTAGCTATCCCCACCTTGCTGGTGAGGGTATCACAAACAACTGGGAAAAACCCCCGTCTCCTTTCCTCACCATCTCCAAGTGCCCCGTTCCCATCTTCATTGCCACAACCACCACACTTTATTGACAGCACCTGTCCCACCTAAAAGCCCTTCTGTGGCCCAGAGTGGGCTGCCTGGCTTGACATTTGCAGCCCAAGCCCCAGTGAGGGTTAAACACTTTCTTATTTGTTCATTTACTCAGTTGTCCCCTGATCATTTACTGGATGCTAGCATTATTTGCTGTGATAAGTACTCAGCATGAAGTTTTTTCTTGTTTGCCTGTGTTTTTATTTCTTCAAATTGATGTGATATGTATATATACTATAACTAAGAATCCCAGAAGATGTTTTCCTTTTTTATGCTATTTGAAAACTATTTTTAATTTTAAAACATTATTTCTGTGAGCCGGGCCTTTAATCCCAGCACTCAGGAGGCAGAGACAGGTGGATCTCTGTGAGTTCGAGGCCAGCCTGGTCTACAGAGCTAGTTCCAGGACAGGCTCCAAAGCCACAGAGAAACCCTGTCTCGAAAAACCAAAAAAACAAAAACAACCCCCCCCCAAAACCAAACCAAAACATAACAACAACAACAACAAAAAACCCAAAACGTTATTTCTGTTTAGACAAGTGGTCTATGAAATTTTAGGATTGAGCTCTTCCCTACTTTATTTTGCCATTCAGGAAAGAACTCGACTCACCTATTTTGACTACGGTGATATCATCTGTAGAGAAGGTGAAATGCCCCAAGGAATCTTCTTAATTATTTCAGGAATGGCAAGTGTAAGAACAACTAATTTTTCTTCATTTAAATGCATTTTGAATATACAGTTGTAACTTAGGGGTAAGTTCTGGAGCTGAAAAGTTTGAAATTGTATGTCTCTTCCACGTGACACCATTCCTGTGGAGAGTAAGGATGGCGGCCGCGACAGAATCTTCATACTTAATACTCGAATGTGCTTCCCATTTTACAAAGTGCACTCAGAGTTGTTACTTACTCTTCACAAAAAAGCTGGAGGAATTAGTAGTTCAGGATGTTCAGGCGTGGAAACCAGTAAGCACTTGAACTCATTTACCTAAATGAGCGTTCAGGCATAAGGGCTTGGCTGCAGCTCTGAGTCTCACAGGTCAAGTTGGATGAAGAACAAAACAAAACTTTTCAGTTGATCAATGAGGAGACTTTTGTTTGAGGAGATAGAGATAGATAGATAGATAGATAGATAGATAGATAGATAGATAGACAGACAGACAGACAGACAGATGTTGTCTGAGTTTCTCTCCTGCCTGGTTTCTGTCCTCCCACCAGGTCCCACAGCTATTTAGCTCCAAAGAAATCACACAGAGGTCTATATTAGTGATAAACTGATTGGCCCATTAGCTCAGGCTTCTTAGTAACTCTTTTAACTTATATTAACCCATTATTCTTGTCTATGTTAGCCACATGTCTCAGTACACATGTCTCTCAGGTCACATCTTGCTTCTTCGGTGTCTGGACAGGACTGGGGAGGAATGGGCTTCCTCCTTCCCCGAATTTTCCTGTTCTCATTGACCTGCCTCTACTTCCTGTCTGGTTGTCCTGCCTATACTTCCTGCCTGGCTACAGGCCAATCAGCGTTTTATTTAAAACATAATTGTCAGAATATAGACAATTGTCCCACACCAGATAGATAGATAGAAAGAATATGAATTCTGTAGTGTGATGGGAGGCAAGAATCCTGTCTCCTCCTTCATACTGGTATCTTAGTAGTTGACTACAGTGGTCAGCGTGGCTTATACACTGATCAGTTCCTAGTTCCCAGCTGATGATTTTATGTGACAAGCCTTTATCCTAGGGAAAAGAGTATATTTAGCTTTTGAATTTTAAAATGAGTATTTCAGAAAATTTCACACTAATGAAAATAAGCTACTGTGATAAAAATAATATGAAGAAATAATGTAATACCAGGGATTTGATTCGAGGCAGTTTAGTTCGTTGATTGAACAGATTACTTTTTGCTATCATGAGTAAGCACTGGGTTGAAAAAACTGACAGAAATCTCAGCTCATTTGGAACTTATTTTCCAGTGGAAGGATAAAAGGAGAGGACATGGTATATAAAATAAGTTAAATATATACACATTTAGTATTGTAAAAGAGGTGTCCTAGGAATAAGGATTTCTCCAGGAAACTTTCATGCCAGGGATAAAGATGCCCCCATAGGACCTCTGATGTAAAGACTGAGCAAACTCATCATCGCTTGCCTGTGCTCAACCATTTTTCTTCACTCTTGTAAAGTTCAGGGTTCTGCCTAGGGAATCATGCTACCCACAGTGGTCAGGTCAATTTAAAAAATCAAGACAATCTCTCACAGACATGTCCATAGAAGAGCCTGGCTTAGATCATTCCTCATTTGAGACTCATCTCAGGTTATTCTAGGTTATGAGAAGTTGACAGACTTTGTGTGTGTGTGTGTGTGTGTGTGTTTCTGGTAACAAAACTGGTGGTCATGAAGGGACAATATGTTGGGTCTTTTGGCTATGGCACCCCCAGAATCTTACTTGTGGCTATTTGGTCCTGAGAATTTTTTTTTTTTTTTTGAGAGAGGGTTTCTGTGTATAGATCTGGCTGTCCTGGAACTCTGGAGATCAGACTTGATTTGAATCCAGAGATCCACCTGCTTCTGCCTACCAAGTGCAGGGACTGTAGGACTGTGCCACCATTCTGTCTCTCTGTCTGTCTGTCTGTCTGTCTGTCTGTCTGTCTGTCTCTCCCCCTCTCTCCTTTCAAAGTGTTAGTGTCTCTCACTGCCTATGAAGAAAACAACATAGCATAAAGAATGGGAAAAATAATTTATTGCAGCTTTGTCTATAACTGGGAAGAGGACAATTCTCAATCTCTCTATGCATTTCTCATAAAAATGAACAGAATGTAAACAAGAGTCAGAAAATATACACATGGTAGCTTTTCTCCTGATAGACGAGTCTTTCTTCTGACACCAGGAATTCTGTGGGTGGCTCATCCTTATTCTCAGCCTGGAAATGAGATCTCTTTGGAGTAATGTTCAAGTCTAAACATGAAATTCATTTTTGTTTCTTTGTAAGCCTTCTACATATCTTAAAGGCAGTTGTATACAGTATTTTTATTGTGATCCATCCCACAAGATCAAGCGTAGAATTTTCCATCAATGGTGATATTTCAGTCCTCAAAAATTTTCAGATTTTGGAGCATTTTAGATTTCAGTTAGCTTGGGTTAGGGCTCTCCAACCAGGAGTATGTTAAAAGTGATGGAGAAAGGAAGAGGTTACTCTTAAGGTTTATAAAAGTACTTGAGAAAGGCAATGTGATTTGTTATTTAATCCTTATAAGAATCTTGTTTTTGTTTGTTTGTTTTGTTTTTCAGTGCTAAGGATTGAACTTGAGGCCTCAAGCATGTTAGGCCAGTGCTGGTATTTTGAAGGAGCTGCGGGCGCATTCCTGCTGCCTGGCTCCTGGCCGCCAGCTAGCTTATGCCCCGAAATAATTACACAGAAACTGTATTCTTTTAAACACTGCTTGGCCCATTAGTTTTAACCTCTTATTGGCTAGCTCTTACATATTGATCTAACCCATTTCTAATATTCTGTGTAGCACCACGAGCTGGCTTAGCAGGAAAGATCTTAACCTGCATCTGTCTGGAGTGGGAGAATCATGGCAACTGCCTGACTCGGCTTCTTTCTCCCAGCATTCTGTTCTATTTACTCTGCCTACCTAATTTTCTGTCCTATCAGGCCAAGCAGTTTTCTTTATTAGTTAACCAATGAAAGCAACAGATAAGATACAAGACCCACCTCCATCACTGGTACCCCTGAGCTACATTCCTAGATCAACAACTTGACTTTTTATGTGAGGAAAACCTTTGCCTTGAAGTGTTAAAATACGGACTAAACCATGACTTTTGTGAAAGTCAACTCTTTCCTTAATTCTTGACACATCTCGTTAAAAAAAAATCTTTGACTTGCTCTAGAACAATTGTAAGACAGAGTCGAAGCTATTGGAATACTCAAAGAATTTAACATTTTTATTTCCCTTTTCATAATCTCTCCCCTACAGTTGCATAGCTCATCTCCCACCTTTGGGTTAGACGCAAACCAGGGGACTGAAAGACAGTTCAAGACTATGTACACAGAGTACTGTACCAGTGGAGATGTACTTGGTGAGCTCAGCTGCTTGCTTAAGCGTGAAATTGAATATACTGCCATCTGTGAAACTACTTTGCAGGTACAAAATACTTCAGTTGTAGGTTATTAGTTAATTCTTGATAAGAAATGCCAGTATCTTTTCTCTAGTTGGGGTGTGATATTTTATTTGATCACATGATCAGCCAATGGTAGCAGTATGGACTAGCTCAGAGAAGAGAGACTTAATCTCTCACAAATGAATCTCTGCTGAGCTCTGCTGCATCTTGCTGTGGATAAGTTACTTAGCCTCCTTGAGTCTTGGTTTCCTTTGTATTTAAGTTGAGAGGAAGCCTGTCCTTCGATGCCATGGAGATTAGATGACGTTATGGTCTGCAGTGTTATGCTGTGTGAATTGCACCATTCTGAAAGCATGGAAGAATACTCATTTGTTTTCAGACTCCCTTCCTTTTGTTTACACTTGCCAAGTATCACGTTAGTTACTGGTTCAACAAAAAAGTGATTGAAATATCATTTGGTATGGACAACCCTCCCAAAAAGATCTGCTGTTCCTATCACAAGTTGTTCTCAGTTTTCTAGGCTGATAGAAGGAACATAGTCTTAGGGGGATGTGGAGAAGCAGGAAGGAATTGTTCCAATTGTTGTTTGTGGGAGAGGAGAGAAAGGATGTATTTAGTCACAGATCTGAATGAGCTCATGACAATTCATTACGCTGGAGTCCCGGCAGAGAGGAAGGAGTTTGCTTCTGAAAAGGGACCCTATAAGTCGGGAGCACTGTTAATGAACTGTAGTGAGAAACCCATTTCCCGAATCTTACGCTCATGAGACAGAATTTCAATGTAACTATTGAATTATGAATATCTGTTTTTTTTAAAAAAAATTTTTCTTTTTATTTTTAATCATGTGTAGTTGTGTACATGTGTGTGCGCGCAGGTGTGTGTATGTGAGTGAGTACAGGTGACAGCAGAGGCCAGAGGCATTGGATCCCAGGAGCTGGAGTTGCAGATGGTTGTGAGCCACCTGACCTGGGTTCTGGGAACCAGACCTGGGTCCTCTGTAGAAAAGCCAGAGCTCTTAACTGCTGAGCCATCTCTACAGCCCCTCAGGGGCTACTTTAAAAGTGTATACCTTTCACTGGACCACAGGTTTTTATCATATTATATAATCTTTTCACAACGCTAATTCTTTTGAATATTAGAGTACCATATTGATGCTAGAGTATCCTTGAGTTGGTAACTGGTTGTCCGAGGAGATGGTGGCCATCCTGTTTAATGACTGATTTTAATCTAGCTGTCTGTGTCCTGGTACCTTGTTATTTCAGGCTTTCTTCATCTCCTTGGAGGATTTATATGAAGGTTTTGATGTCTTCTGGCCATCTCTGGAATATAAAATATGGCTCAAGCTTGCTCTTGGTGTTGCAAATCAGTATTTTGAACAAGTTATTGCTGGTGAGGTAAGTTATATGAAGAAAATGTAAATACATTTGTAGGCACTAATTTTTTTAAAATGAAGTATTTTTCAGACAAAGATAGAAAGAAAGGTGGTGTTTGATTTTTTAAAGTTGGTTTTAACAGCTGTCTTATCCTAAATCCCTGTGAGCCGTTAATCCTCTTGTCACAGGCTATCTCAAAGATCCCTATAAAGAATAGAATTAGAAGCTTTTGAATAAGTAGATACCCCCAAAGCTGAACTTATCATCAATCCAATCAGAAGAACTTAATGAACAACCCTGGACACACATCTCTTAGGTTTACAGAACTTGTTGGCGAGCTTTTCCTCCAAAGTGTAGTGGTTCCAGTCGGCCCCTGGCCAGCGTCATCTGTAGTCTTGTGTTTGTAAGTGACTTAGTCTTTATTCTCACCCCTACTGTGAGTCAGAAGCCTAGGAGGTGAAAGACCCAAAGCTCAACGATTTTCGCTTACTGTAAACCTTGGGTTAGAAACAGTGCATCCTCCAAGCCAGTCAGGTTTTGTTTCCAAAGGATAATTACTTTCAGGAAAACCTTGGCGGAGGAGTAAGGCGAGTAAGAGCCTTTTCCTTTTATGTTGCCTCTCCAGAAGAGTAAGACAATTGCTCGTCTAGAATGAGCCATTAAGACCAGGATGTTGAACTATTTCAACAGCAGGACAACTGTTCTTTATACTTACATGTTGATTCACAGGCCTTGCAAATTCATGATGTAAATAAGAATGTTCCAATATAAAATGTCAGGGACAATAATGTTTATCCACAACCTACTTAGCCACACTATTGCTGCGATAAATATTCTGACAAAAGCAGCACCCATGTTTATTTGAGGGCACAGTTCAAGGGCACAGCCCATGCTGGCAGTGAAGTCAAGGATGCAGGATGATGCATGCCACTGTCACAGCACACCTGCCGTCAGGAAGTGGAGAGCAATGAATGTAGATTAGTGTTCAGCCTCCCTTCGCTACTCTGTGCCAGTTCAGGGTCCCCTGCCCAGAGAATGGTCCTGCCCACAGTGAAGATGGAGCTTTCTACATTAATTCACAGGTCAGGATAATCCCTCATGGACACACCCAGAGGGCCACTTCGCAGGTGATTCGAGATTCTTTCAAACTGACAGCACTCACCATTACCTCTCCAGTCTTACTCCTCAAGGAATATCTACTCGATTCCCCCCTACCCCATCAGATAAGTTCAGAACCTCATTTATTCTGCCTAGCAAAAATGCACTTCATTTCCCCCCCCCCAATAACTCAGGGGCTTTAAGAAGGGGAGGAGAGACTGTCCGAATCCAATAATGTAAATACAGAAAAAACAAATTTAGTACTTTGGGTATTAAATCGCATCTTCCACAACTTGAGAAACTTGATTGTGTCCTGACTATTAAGTGATACTAAGGATTTCATAATTAGTCATTATTAACTCATTAGTGACATTGTGGTTTTATAAGCAATCCTTTAAAAACGTCACTTTCAACTGAGGGAAGGAGGGAGAAGCATGAGGATCAAGAGCGAGAGGTCAACCTCAACTACAGACTGAATCTGCTTTAAAACAAAGCCAAAAACAAAACAAACAAAAATAATTTTAGGTGTGAAAACCTGAAATGAGAGGGAAGCTGTTTTTTTTTTTTAAACAAAAAACACTAACAACAACAGCATCAAAAAGAGAGAACAATTGTGAGAAGATTTGAGGACTCTTTTCCTTCTGATAACCCCATGAAAGCATTACCCAAAGAAGACTTTTTAGCACCCCAGACGTTCATGAATGCTCTTTGCTTCTCCGCTCTATTGAAATATTCTCACATTTTCAAACCCCGATACCATACTTCTAGGTTCTTCCCCCTACTTGTTGCAAAATTTTCCATAACCTGTTTGCTAATTTTCTTATGTTTTTGGTGACCTGGCTGAGATGATGCCCCCAGAAAATAAGCCCTTCGCTTGCCTGTCGGTGACTGACAACCAAAGGTTTCCCTGAAAGCAAGGCGAGCTTCTGCAGATGGGAAACATCTGGTTCAGCCTTCTTTCCTTGGCTTGGACTTGGCTGCCTTTATCTTCATGTAGCATTCTGCCTGTATTCAAGTTGGTCTACAAAGTTCCCCCACTCCTACATAACCTCATCTTACCTGGCTACAGAGACTCTACTCCCAAATAAAGTCATATTTGGAGACACTGGGGCTTCATCTAAACCTTTGGGGTACGAACTCAAGTATATCCACAACAGCTGCTGTTCCATTCCAAAGTCTACGTTTCTGAGCCTTGCTGTATGGCCCAGATGCAATGCCTGGCTTGCCTTGATTTGGGGCTTTGTTATTATTGCACATTCACTTGTCAAGTGAGACATTTGCTTACTGCTAGAAGAAACCTATGCATCTTCAGCCTGGTTAAGCCTAGAAGTCCAGTAGCACATGGCTGACCACACGGTGATACTGATGGCTTGTTCATCAGACAGGGAAACCCAATTCAGGGACATTTGCAAAAGCCACGCTAAACGTTAGATAGATTCTGTCAATTCCAGAATCTACGTGCATTCTGACATCCTCAAGGAACTCAGACAAGGGCACCTGTTTCCTTCCTGATAGCATGAATTCGTCTGTTTGATTTATAAAGAATTGTGATTTTCTTGTAGGATTTAAAGTTTCAGAAGTGTGTGGTGTCCAATTATGCATATGTGGAGACTCTGTCAAGCTATAATGAAATGACTCTTAATCATGTGGCCATGAAAATCGTTATTCTTGTGTACGGCAACGTAATTAATAGCAAGACGGAAGAATCGCATGTTGCACCCAGCATTATTCCTAAGTCCTGTGATCAGGTAAAAAGTATAATTTCTAAAGAGCTATTTGCTTTGCATTGTGCTCCATAAGGAGCTTTAAAACTCAGATGACAACAGTTAATTGTGTGCTTAAAATAGCTAGTCATTAAGACAGCAAAGTTTGGAGCCAGGATTTAACAGTAGACTGGTACCTACTGGATGCAGGAACCAAGCACGCTGCCCGATTGTTTTGAGCTTTGGCTTGCTACTTAATGTAAAGAGGATGCAGGCAGCAGCCATGCTGTTAGTGTTATAGTGGTAAATATGCTGGCCTGCCCAATCACCTGGGTACCCTGTTTCTTTAAGAGACAAGCTCTGCCCACTTCCAATCTGATCTCATGCTTTCTCTCTTCTTTCTCTCTTCATCCCTTATTCTAAAGAGGCAGCCTCTCCTCATCCCCCTTTCCTCTTTCCTCTTTTTCTCTGTCCCTCTATCTCTCCCTCTTTTTCTCCCCTCCATAACTCCTTATCCTTATACCCACACAACACCCACTAAATAAACTCTATACCCAAGCTCTCTCTGCATGGAGGATCTGTCTGTTTCCCACTCTCCACGACCCCTCCCACCGCGTCCTGCCAGGGTCACCCGCACCACAAATCCTAACAGTTAGGCCAGTATGAGGACTCAGTGAGATAATTCAGAATTTAGAGACCTTAGTGCAATCACTGTTCCTCTCCTAGCATTCTGGGAAGCCAGTGGGAAGGCTGGTCTTGAGTCGTTTATCTTCGGTGTAGGTGTAACAGTCATTCATGGCTTGCTGGCCATTCCCTTCTTTCTAAACGAGGTATTCTAGTCCAGTTATAAGGAAAGTAGACATTTTTGCTTTGGCTTCCACAAATAGGCAAAAGAAAATTATTTTTCTGGCCTAATATTTCTTTGAAACAACATGGAAGGGGATTTCGAAGTAAAAGGATAGGGCTTGCCTGGGTTTGTATGGTATGTGTTGGAGTCCCAGCAGTTTGGCTGAGAGAGATGTTAGTGAGTTGGAGGCCAGCCCCTAGTGTGGGAGGTCCTTCTTTCTTTATGATTTTTGAGACAGGGTTTCTCCATAGCTTTTGGTTCTTGTCCTGGAACTAGCTCTTGTAGACCAGGCTGGCCTCAAACTCACAGAGATCAGTCTGCCTCTGCCTCCCAAGTGTTGGGATTAAAGTTGTGTGCCACCACCACCTAGCTGGGTCCTTCTTTCTATATGTTGCTTTTATCGGTTAATGAATAAAGAAACTGCCTTGGCCTGTTGATAGGGCAGAATTTAGGTAGTCAGGGAAGACAGAACTGAATGCTGGGAGAAAGAAGGACCTCCCAATCTGACTGAGAAGGCCTGCCTGTTTGTTCCTGACCGCCCGACTATCTTACACCCGAAATAATCACACGGGAACTATATTAAATCACTGCTTGGCCTATTAGCTCTAACTTCTTATTGGCTAACTCTTACAAGCCCCTTGTCTCAGAAGACAAGGAGACAGACAGACAGACACACACACACACACACATGGCTTAGGCTGGAGACCTAGTGCTAAGTTTCAACTTGTTTCTTGCATTCTTTACAAAGACATTTGGGAAGCAGCCCTTGGGGATCAATGTTCTTTTGACTAATTTTTATTTCTTTTGCTTTTAGATCCAGGGAATTTCAGATGTAAGCAAGCTTCTGATAATCCTGGCATCCGAACCTGTCAAAAATGATGCAGCTACCCCTGCCATGGGTAAGGGATGATAACCTTTTAGTGGTGAGAAAACTACCTTGAAGCATGTGGACAAATGCCAAAGCCTTTTAATTCTGCAAAGTGATTGGAGGTGGTCCCCACTCTAGGGCCCACGATGGCTGCGACTTTGGTTTTGGGAGTGTACCTACCAGCCACTAAAATCCATGTGGCTCTTGCCTCTCCTCTGTCCTTCCCTGCATACACCTTGATAACAAATAACCAGCCCTGGTCGGGTGGGCCAACAAAGTGCTGTTGGGGTGCTATTAAAATGGGGAGAGGAGCGACTCCCACCCCGGGGTCAAAGGCGGGGAGCTGGTCTGTTCCCAGAAACTGAAGGGAATATGAAACCTGACCCACCGTCTTTGAGTATTACAAACTGTACTCAGTGCCACAAGTGGACTGGATTGCCCTGGTTATACTTTGGAGGTCATTAAGTAATGGAAGTCAATAGATGGCAATGCTCAATCAGGTCGCTGAGCGCTGATGTCACAGAGAAGAGGAGGTAGGAAGGCTTTGTTCTGGGGAAACACACTCAAGGACTTCATCCTGTGCTCATTGTCCTTGCTGGGCTTTGTGTCAGCACCATCCCACCTGTCCCAGCCTGAAACATAACTGAGTGTACAGAGCATGAGACCATGCAATTCTTAATGGGTTGCTATTTTGAGAGTAGTTCTCTCCTGCCTCGGGCTCTCTGGAGGGTACTGGACAAAGGAGAGCACAATCATTAGTATTCTCTGGTGGGTTTGAGACACAACTCACAAATGGTTAAGACCAGGTCTCAACCCAGTTCTTTGAGTTGGGACTCTGACACATATTTTGCTTTGAAAAATTTCAATGAGTTGCCATGGGAAAACATGTAGAAGTTTCACGTTTACAAATGTAGATTTTGAGGTCTTCATCAAAAAAAAAAAAAAAAAAAAAAAAAAAAAAGAGAGAGAGAGAGAGAGACCTACCAGTATGCAGCCCTCACTCCCACATGTAGCAAGAGTCAGTGAGACATCAACTGATTTGTGCAGGGGAGCAGGCCTTCCTCTGGAGCTCACACTGTACACTCTAGGCTGTATACAGCCTACTTTGTTTGGGGATCCTGCTTGCCAGCCTGGATGTTAGATTTTGAGGAGCATGTTACAAAGCTCCAAAGGAAGAAACGAGGGGAACTTGTGGAGAGAGCAGACTGGTACTCCAATACTCCTAACTGTTTTTTTTTTTTTTTTTAATTCTGTTCACCTCAGTCAGTGGTGATCTTCGAACAACCAAGAAAGACTATAACTGGAAGAGAAAAGACGAGGTAATAAATTGGGCACTTGAAATAGATTTTTCTTTTTTCTTTTTTTTGGGGGGGGCATTTTTTCAAGACAGGGTTTCTGTGTGTAGCTTTTTTTGGAGTCTGTTCTGGAACTCGCTCTGTAGACCAGGTTGGTCTTGAACTCACAGAGATCTGCCTGCCTCTGCCTCCTGCATTCTGGGATTAAAGGCGTGTGCCACCACAGCCTGGTGGAACAGATTTTTCTCATTGTGAATATCAATCTACATAGCTAAAATAAATTGCACAATCAGTCGTGATGTCATGCACCTACGGAAGGGACAAGTATCAGGTCAGGATCCCTAAAACCAAGTTCTCTTCACAGAGATTTATTTGCCCCAGAGGGACAGAGGGCAGGGATAAGGAATGGAACAAGGGAGAGGGGGTAGGGTGTTTGTCCTTGAGGGACAAAGGACTGTCCCTGGATAGAGAGAAGACAGACTGGCCCATAGGCAAATGGTAGTTTATAAAGGTACAAAGGAAATCTTGTGTTAGCATGAGGTGTTTAATTTTAATTGGGCATGTTATTTAGGTGAGCCAAAGGGGGTTTTTGATTGCTGGACTTCAATACTTTGATAACTGGACCTTGATAGTCAGCCTCAGGAGGCGGAAGTGGCCAAATAAGGGAGCAGGCCTAGTATTGGCTAGTGTTAGGAATACAACCTAGCAGTTTTCAGCAAGGCAAAGGGAATGGAGAGAAGGGTAAGGCCTGCCAGAGCTGTGTCCACCACACTCCAACTGGCCAGAGTCCCTTCTCCTATAATCTCAGCACTTGGGACCTGGAGCTTAAGTCATTCTTAGCTACCTAGCAAGACTGAGGGCAGGATAAGCTGTAGGAGACCCTGTCTGTAAGCAAATACATAAATATTCAGTGGGATGGAGGAGCAAACCGCAGCAGCAGGAAAAGATGGCTTCTTACAGCTCACTAAACTGGACCAATTGAGACAAAGCTAACGGTATTACCTGAAAACTAAAGTCAGGGACCATTGTTTTGAATTGTGTAACTTGGAAGGCTGGCAAAATGGCTCAGTGGCTAGTGTGCGTATTCCATAAGCCTGAGGACCGAAGCTGGATCCCAGTCTTCACATAAAAGCATGGCCGTACAACTGAGCTGTGGCTTGTGGGTAGAGAGGGTAGGTGAACTGTGGGGCTCACTGGCCAGCTGCTCTAAAAAGGTGGATCTCTGAGTTCAAGACCAGCCTGGTCTACAGCGTGAGTTCCAGGACAGCCAAGGATACATACATAGAGAAACCCTGGCTTGGAAAACAAAAATACAAAACAAACAAAACAAAACAAAAAATTACAAAAAAAAAGAAAGAAAGAAAAGAAAAGAAAAAGAGTAAAAAGCAGAGACATAATAGGGGAGACATCGGAGGGCATCATCTTCCCTTACCCCTCCAGGCACACACGCAGTGGAGTGTGCCTGTGTACACATGTGCACATCCAAACACTGAAATGTGTAATGGACACATGCACCCTGGCTTCCTCTCCTCATTCTCCTTCCTTGCTAGTAATTCAGAGCCTAAGGATCTGTGTGATGAGGAGGGACATCCATCAAGTCAGACTTAGGTATCGCTGTCTGAGCATCCATGCTTCTCCCTTTCAGAATGCGCTATCTGGGTGGCTGGACAACTGAGCTGGGGGAAGCCACAGTTCAATCACAGGCAGCTTCCTAGAGTATCAACCAAATTAACTGTTAGTTTGCTTGAACTAAAGGTTTTATATTAACCATTATTGAATAGGATGGAAAATTTATTTGGACCTTAAAAAGAAAGCCAAAAGCTTTAAAAAGTATTATTTTTAGTTAAAATATCATTGCATTATTTCTGTCCCCTCTTTTCCTTCTAACACCTTTCATGGTCCCCTTTTCTTTCAAATTCATGGCCTCTTATTTTGTAATCATTGTTGTTCACATATACGTACGTGTAAACAGACACACACGTGCCACCCGAAGAGTCCATTCAGTGTTGCTTCCATGTGTATTTTTTGAGGGGGCTGACCACTTGGCGATCAAATAACCATTTAGGGTGTTCACCTCCAGGTGGGGTTAATTCTCCTCCCTCCTCAGTCTGTCATTACCTGTAGTCCTTCATCTAGGGATGTTTTCTCCAATCCACAGGGGCATTGCGTTAACTGTAGTCATTGCTCAGGTCTTGTTAGGCAGCCAGATTGCTGGGACTTCACGAATATAGGACACAATCTTGCCGCACATTTCCCGTTCCTCTGGTTCTGACCATCTCTGTCCACCACCTTCTGTGAGGCTCCCTGAGCCTTGGATAGAAGATCTGCATTGTAGATGTATCCCATGGGGCCGGGCAGCCCACAGTCAGTCGTTCTCTGCATTTTGACTAGCTGTGGCTTTCTGTACTGGTCTCTGCCTGCTGCAGAAGAAGCTTCTCTGACGAAGGGGAAAGCTACGCTTAGCTGGGGGTGTAAGGATGAGTATTTAAGGTGCCTTTGGCCATTAAACTGGCTTAGGAAACGGGCAGTAGCAGGCTTTCCTCTGAGATGGCTGACCTCACTAGGCACATGGAGATGGCTAGGTTTACACCATCAGACATGAGTTCCCTCCTATCAAGTGGGCCTCAAATACAACTGGACAGCTGCTAGTTGCAATCAATTCATAAAGGCCATTACTACACTTTCAGGGATAGCCTTCAGTGCTGATCACTGCTGCGGTTCCCAGACATCACGGTAAAAACCAGAAAGTTTGAAACACGGTTTCAAAGCCGGGTGCAGTTTTGCTTTTGCTTTTCTTGATCTCTTCAGCTGCCAGAGCTGATGTGGAGAGATCTGAACAACGCTGGAAGCCATGGCTAGATCTGGGGAGACAAGGGACTCGTTACCCTGGGCCAGAGCAGAGTAGAGCCCAGGTGGAGGAACTGTCTGTGTGCCCAGGATGATAGGGTCTCTCTTCAGTCCCTCAATAGCTCTTCTGAAGCAATGCGTACTTCTGGGTGGGGTGCATGAGCAGATCTCACAGGGTGACAGGGTATAGGAGTTCACTAGCCTCCCTCATTTTGATTTCTAATGGCTAGATACCAGGTCACCCTAAAAAAGCCTGTCCTCTAAGCAAAAGTGATACACATACATGTGCACACACATGTGCACACAGACTTGCAAGCAGTGCACACACACGTGACACACACATACATGATACACACAGTACCACACACATGGTACGCACACCTGATACATGTGATACACACATATATGATACTCTCTCTCAAACACACACAGTACCACACACACACGGTATGCACACCTGATACATGTGATACACACATATATGATACTCTCTCTCAAACACACACACACACACACACACACACACTCTTTCTCCATATTCAAGGAGATGTCCATGAGGATATTCTAAAAGAAAATTTAGTCCTGTTACCTACATTTACTATCAAGGTGATAAGCATTGTGCTTGTCAGAAAAAAAAAAAATGGAAGCTGCTCCTATCAAGGTCATGGGCAATAGTTCCTTTAAAACAACTCAGCTCTGTTAAGGTGGCTCGTCTAGGGTCATCCTTTGCTTGCCTCTAAAGGAATCTCATTTCACAGGTGGAGATCCTGAGAATCAAACATCTGAGCTCCTCACTTGTTACTCTTTCTTCCAGGCATCATCACTATCTCCGTTGTTTGCAGGGCTGGGCAACTGAATGAACCCAGGGCCTAAAAGCACGCTAGTACCAGTGCACCCACCAGGGCAGAGTACCACTGAGTCATAGTCCCAGCCCACAGGCCCCGCGATCTTTGAAAAAGTTTTCACTTCCACTATTTATGGAAAAAGTTCCCAGTGACTCTGTAATCAGTCATAAAGTTAACTAGAATTTAAATTTCATTACCCTTCTTTTTCCTTAAGCACGCTTTTGATAGTTGAACTAATGTAATATCAATTGCTAATTAAATTAATGCAGTATCTCTTTACAGTATAGAAATACACACAGGGGCTGGAGAGATGGCTCAGTGGTTAAGAGTATTTGCTGCTCCTGCAGTGGACCCAAGTTTGGCTCTCAGCATCCACATGGTGGTTCGCAGCCATCTGTAACTCCTGTTCCAGGGAATCCAGGTTCTACAGGCACTAGGCACACACATGGTGCACATACATACATGTTGCAGGATATTTGATAGCACTGTGAACCCCAAGTTTGCATTTGCGTTAATTGAATAAAATCAGCCTTGGGTCAGGGGCTGGCTGAGTTAGCCACTAATTGACAGAAAGTAATCATATATCTGGAAGATGATAGAGATACACACAGACAGGAGTAGGGAGGGGCTTTGAGTACATGGGTTTTTGATTTTTTTTGTTTGGCAGAAGGAAGGACACTCCCTTTCAGAGACACCAGCAAAGAGGGAAGGTCAGCTAGTAGCTACTCAACTTCTCTGAGCTAGCAGGTTTTCATCCCAGCTTTTGACTCGCATGCCTTATTGATAAATAGAGCGATAGGGATTTAATTAAAAACTGTATTTGGTGATAGCAACAGAGCCAGTGCCTGTGGGGACAGAATTCCTGCCAGGCCATGACCTAAGTGGCCAGGCCTCTGCCAGAAGCAGGCCAGTAACTGGGGAGCTGCAAAGACTGGCTGAAGAGCAGTCAAAGTGTGGCCTCTGCACTAAAGGAAAAACAACACATACATGCAGGCAAGACGCTGAGGCATATAAAGTAAAAATGAACAAATAAAGATTATGAACATGCATGTTAATTTTATCGTAACTTAGAGACTTTTTAGTATGTAAGCTCTTTTAAGAAAAAATAAGATAGAAACCTTCCAGCATTTTTTTGATTCCACTTAATTGGTAAGAATCTTTTCCTGAAGTGTTCATAGTCTAATGTTTTTGCCTTTCTTTTGCAGTTTGAAGGTGGCCATCTCTTTAGAAAGACAAATTAGAGCAGCCGTTATGATGTGTGGAGTCAGGTAACGGTGGAGCTGACACCCGGCACAAACGATGTTGACTTAGCCACTGCTCGAGCTGTCTGCCGCTGCATTCATTTCAGAAGCAATCAGTGGGTGACCACAGATGCTTCAGATCTTGAGTAGCTGCATTATGCTTGAGATACTCAAAATTCTTCAGTATAATACAAAATTCTTTAAAACGGAGGGAAGGAAACCTTCCCTTAGCTTAGCACAAACGGTAACAGAGTAAGTTGGCAAATGAGGCGTGCAATTTATGTCGGAGTCTGAAGCGCAATACTCATGGAATTGCCATAATCTATGCCTCTCCGACACTTTGTATCTTCCCCCTCTAATTTAGTATGTGCTGAAAAGTGGGAGAATGGTCCACAGTCTTGGTTACTGGGAGCAAAGCTTAGGAGAAGTCCACATCTTTACGTTTCATAGTCCTGCTTGCTGTGACTTTCCATTTTCTTTTTAAAAGTCAAATAAAGTTGAATGTTAGGATCAATGAATAACTTTTTAGAATCCATTCCTTCTTATCATTTTAACGAGACTGAGACTATGTGATAGTTTTGGGAAAAATCATAATACAGGTAAGAATAAAAAAAATGTACAGGACAAAAAGTTGAACTTTCAGACTTCTCAGGGCAGGTCCTGAGTGGCCTTCACTGTGTCAGGAAATGTCAGATGTGACTGTACCGACAACATGGGTTCACGTTCTGATGTGATGTGCCCAGAAATAGGAGCACATGGTGCTGCCACTTGACAGTGTCATGGGCCAAGTCCCTCCTAGTGTCCCACTCCCTCACCTGTGGCCCTGGCCTCTCATGTCAGCGAAACACCCATGGAGAACTTTGATTCTGATGGAAGGCTGCTTAGCTTGAATAGTCAGTTTTTCATAACGTAGAATTTACCTGAAGAGCCTCTGCTAAGGAATGACTTAGATCAGGGGGCCTGTGGACATGTTTGTGGTGGGGATTGCCCTGACTGTTGATGTAGGAAGATCCAGCCTGTTGTGAGTGTGGGGTACCATTTCATAGGCTGGGCCCTGAACTGTTTTAAGAGCGGAAAAAAATAAGCATCTGTCAAGCAAAGATGCATTTATTCTTTTTGTCCTTGATTGGGGATGTGAAGTGACCACTCCTTGCCTTGCTTTCCCCCAAACGATAGATTATATCCTAGTCAATAAGTGAAATAAACCTTTCTCTGTCACTTTTGCCCAGGGCGTTTTCTCACTACACAACAGATGGCTTTGTCTTTCTGCAGTTAAGGGTTCTCTTCCTGGACCAGAACTGTCACATGGCTACATGCTTGTTACCCCGAGATGAGCTGGAACCTCCTCCCCTTGCTACTCTGACCTGTCAGGCCCGAGAGGGAAGCATCAATGAGCAACAACAGTGTTGCTTGGCCTGTCCTGTAAATGGTTCTGTGTTCTCAATCCTGGGCTCTTCATTTGAACGTACCGCTCAGTACATAAATGATTAAATGCATATTTAATCTTGCAGTCAAGTGTAGGCGGTCCAGATGCACTGGAAAAGGTACAGCTTTACAGTCTTGCTTAGGAGGTCAATTAGCCTGCATTTGAAATGACCGGAAGGATGATACTTCATTTACAGAATGCTTTGTGCTTCAGGTGATTAGAAAAAACTCAAAAGCTGTAAGCACCAAAGAAATTTATTATCATTACGTAACCCAAGGACAGGTTTTTCAGAAGGTAGAAATTATCAGACTAGTTTTTTTTTCCTTCTATTGTTATTCACCTGTTCTGTCCTAATTCTGCGGTTGCATGTTTTCCTGATCACAACCAACAGCAGACAAAAAACAAAACCCAAACCCTTTTGAGTTATTCTTTAGCTAAAGGATTATTTTAGAAGTCTGACATGGTGGGTGGCTCACACCGAGAATCCTAGCATTTGTAAGGAAAGACCAAGAGTTCAATAGTTCAAGGCCAGTCTCACCTACACAACACTATCTCTCCCTGTGTGTGTGTGGGGGGGGCAGCAGAGAAATTCTAGAAACCCCTAGGAACCTTCTATTTGTGTCTCATGGGCAAGAATTATCACACACCCATTTCTGAACTAGTTAGCCACAAGAGCTGGGGCTTGCAGATTAGCTTAGGTTGGTTGGCCAGGGAGCCCAGAGATACACCTGTCTCTGCCTTCTCAGTGCCAGGATTACAAGCTTGCCCTACCACACCTGGCACAGCAAGCATTTCACCAATTAAATATCTTCCCAGTTCCCAGGTAAGGATTTTTTTTTAAAGAAAAAACCAGTTAACATATACTCAAGCCAGAGTCAAAATTCTATTTTCTCAGCTTGCATGTAGGAACTGACAGCTTGATTGATTTGGCCTCTTTGTGAAGGTGGGGGTGAAATCAGTTTTGGCAAGCACCCCTAGAGTTCAGTTTGTCCCTGTGCTCACCTAGAAGGCCGTCCGCTCTTATAGAGCATTTCTTAGTTTCTGGAAGAGCCACTCAAGCTGCCTCTTCTTTCCTACTTTCCTGGGCCGGAGGTAGCACAGACACCTTTAATCCTGGCAGTTGGGAGTCTGGGCTACATTGTGAATTTCCGTTTCAAGTCAAAACCAACAAAAAAATTTCCTGCAGTCATTATTCAGCTTCAAGAAACAAATCTTTACATGGATAATAAAATTCATTAAAAAAAAAGATTCAGTCCAAAATTTATCCCTACCCCACCTCCCCCAACATTTAAAATCGTGTTCACGCCTTGGAAATATCCATCTAATATTGAGTATTTGTATTTGGTAAAGGATACTTATACCAAGCCTCGGTCTCAAAACTGTCTAGTGAGAAGTACCAGAATTCAGTTTTTAAAGAATTTTTATACTGACATTATTAATGTGGGCGGAACAGTCAAAATGCCAAGATTTAGAAGCCTGCGTGAGGAGGTGCAACACGTTTATGGAGATGAGGAAAAAGGCAATGAATCTGGCTTAGAATTTACTAATTCAGTGGTAAACAGTCCATTGATCAATAAAAACTAGACTCAAGTTTGAGCAACTAACAATGGCAACAAGGGCATGGTGGCGTCCTCTTGCAAATCCTGGCACCTGGGAAGCTGGGGCAGCAGGACTGATTTCAAGGCCAGCCTGGGCGCAAAGCAAGATAGTATCACAAACAGAAAGCAAAAACCTCAACAGGAAGTTGAAGCCAGACTTCCCATGGAAAGCAAGCACTAAAACAAGCCAGTGTTTATGGGAGAAGAGAGCCAGTCGTGAGGTACCTGATAGGTAGGGAATGACAGGAGACAACAGCAAGGAAGTCAGGAAATGAACTGTCTGGGCAACGTCTACAACACAACAAGGGGCTCCTCACCAGACCCAGGATCCACCATTGCCTTAAATAGCCACTGCTCAAGCAACCCAGACCTAGACCCACAAACGCCTTTCTACCCTGTCTAGTAGCATTGTGTATCCCCAAAACCATTCAGTTTGGAGCAGGAAAAAAATATATATACCACCATCTCAAAAGCTTTTTTTTTTTTTTTAATGTATGCTTTTATGCCAAAAGATGGCAGCAGATCCCACTAGAAATGGTTGTGAGCCACCATGTGGTTGCTGGGAACTAAGGGCCTCCTCTTAATCGCTGAGTCATCTCTCCAGCCCCCCAAAGCTCTTTCTTCTGTCTCCCTGTACTGCTGAGATTAGGTTAAGGCTGTAGTCTACATACCTACTCCTGAGACCCTAGGCAAACAGGAAGTAACGAAGTGGCCCAACACACGTGAGAGAACCTATCCTTCAGTGGCTCCTGTTTCACATGAAATCTTACTTATTTGTCCTTGGAGAAAAATACCCACGTCAATCCTAGCAAGAAGGAAGCCTGCTTCTGCTCCTTAGGCTAAGTCTTCTAGGCTAGGACTTCAAAACGTGACAACACAATTTTCAACAAAGGATTTTATTTGTTGAACCCCAAAAATCAGAATTCAGGAAAGTGGCAACCTACTGCTAGGACAGTTTAGTGGCGAACCATTCTGTCACCGCCTGTCCTTACAAGGTGTGTTCACATGTACATGGCACCAGAGCAGACAAACAGGAACCCTTGGAGGGATGAGTGGTCTTGGGTGCACTTCCCTCCTTGGCAGGGCAAAGGATGCCTCTTCTGAGCCCCCATTCGACAGAAACGCACCAGATTCCTGATAGCACAATAGTTAGAAATTTCCCCGGGCTGTTCCCAAGTTTGTTACTTATGAAAAATACAGAAATGAAAGTTTCCCCCATTTCACTATTTTCCAAGGAGGCTACAAAAGGTGATAGTCATTCTACCATGGAGCCGAGTGAGCTTCCCCTATCCCTATCTGACACTCTAGAACCCTGCAGAGGTCAGAGTTTCTACTACAGAATGCATTTCAGAGAAAGCTGGTCAGCAGAACCCTGAGATGGACGGAGGGGCAGAATGCTGTGAAGGCACAGAGTAAAGAACCCCAAGAAAGTGTTGGTGCCATTTCCATTTAATGAGCCGGTAGTAAAGTGACTTTGGCTGTGATCACACAGCAGGAGGTTTCTATGGAACTGGGTGAGGACAGATGGCGGTCAGCTGGTATCCTCAGGTCCACTGTGTCCGAGCAGCTGCAGCCAGCTCCCACAAAGACTTAAGGCTGCGGGGTATAACGGAGGTACTTCTTGCCAGATGGGAGATCTTTGGTGAAGACTCCTTTGGGAAACAGACTTTTGGCTTCCTCTTCAGGGATGGTGGGCAGGACCATGACGCTCTCGCCCTCCTGTTGGGAGATGTGCAATTCACTCTTACAGCAAGGGTAAAAGGTCTTTAGTAAGAATTAGCTATGGGAGCTTGGCGAAAGATGGTGGCAATGAAGGGAAGCTAGTACTCCTTCTTCTCTTGAGGAACTTACAGTTTTACAGATTGATTTCTGACATGTTTGTTAGGAAAGTATTTCTCCATCTTAGGTAGAAACAGTGCTGTTTTAAATCCCATCATAGCTGGGCAGCGAAGGGACTCTAGCCAGCTTGAGCTTGACAGGCATGGCTCTGGCAGGCCTTGTCCTTCTCCCCCATTCCCTCTGCTTTGTTAAAAACCCTTAGGTTACAATCCAACAACATTTAGCTAGCCTCCAAGGTCTCCTCCCTTATTTGGCCACTTCCTTCTCCTAAAGCCAACTACCAAGGTTCAGCTTTCATAGCATTCAAGTCCAGCAACTAAAAGCCCCCCCTTGGCTACCTTAACATGCCCAACTAAAATTAAACAATCCAGCCGGACACAAGGTTTCCCCCTTTAAACTGCCATTTTCCTATGTGCCATGTCTGTCTCCTTTCTATTCAGAGGGAGTCTTTTGTCTGTGTGCCCCTCACAAATATTGCTCCCCCCTTTCTCTTGTCCCCTTCCCCCTCCCCCTCATCTCCTGTCTTTGTCTCTTATTCCCTGGTCTCTCTGGGGCAAATCTCCGTTGAGTTGAGAATTTGGTTTGGGGGTCCTGAGCTGATACTTTCTCTTCCAGCCATCACACCTCCTCCTTAGTTTACAGGATTGGATCGGGCTACATTCCCTCTCGCCTCCATTCCCCACTCAACTTCCTGAAAATGCACATGACTTGCAGATGATTTGTCAGACAAATCAAAAACCAGCACACAGGTTAGCAATACCAAGATACTCTTGTGTATCTTGTCCTATTCATCTGCAGAGATCTTTCTTAGGTATTAATAGTTTATGAACAATTTGGGTGTGGTGGTGCATGCCTGTAATCTCAGCACGCACAAGCCTGAGGTAGGAGATTAAAAATCCAAGGCCAGCCTATTATAAATACTGAGATCCTATTTTAAAAGGGGTGGGGGCAGGGCTTAACTAATAAAACACAGTGCTTGACTGGCAGTCAGTCCCCCAGAATCTTATAAAACTGGGCATGGTGGCACAGGCTTGAAATCCTAGCACCTGAGAGGAAGCAAGAGGATCAGAAACTCAAGGTCATTCTTGGCAACCTGGTGAGCTTTAAGGCCAACTTGAGCTACAGGGGACCTTGAGACTTTATCTTAAATGCTCAAACACAAATATACAAGCCTGAGAATGTGCTCCCTTAGACTAAAGTGCACAAGGTTGGAGCTTTGGAGAAAAGAAACGCTGTAACACCAGCACACCACAGTCATGGAGCCACCAGGACATGCGTGAAGCAGCCAAGCTCTTCTTTCCTTGCTGTGCAGCTAGGCTGAGCTTGAACTTGTGATGCTCCAGCCCCGGCCTCTAGGATCACAAGTCCCACAGTGTCCAGATCCAACAAGGTTTTACTATAAATATTTGCTCATCAGGTAATGGTTAGATGAAGGGATTCTTATTTATACACGTCGAGTATCCTGTATTTAAAGAGGAAGTGTTTCACATTTGGACGTTTTTGGATATGGAGCATGCGCACATCCAGCTGAATGCCTCTGATCTCCAAAAGTTGACGTGATGAAACGCATCAAGAAATTTTTGATTTTGGAGCTGTGGACCTGGGATATTTGGGATTAGGGATGTTTAACTTCTAGTCAAAAAAAGGGACCACTGTGACAGATGTGTTGAAAGTTTGTAACAGTTAGCAAAAATCATAAAGTTTTGTTTTATGTAGACAGTGTAAATGATCTCTTAAACAAATCCTCCAGGTATACCAGATGGGGCAATAGAAACACCCCAGGAAAGCCAGATCCTGAAGGTGGCCATTAGAGACTGACCCTCCAACGTTCCTGAGGGGCAAGTGGGGCACCCTGTTCTGGAGCAGCCTTACCTTCCAATCAACCGGGGTAGCAACCCGCTTTGTTGCTGTCAGCTGGAGAGACTTAATAACTCTGAGAATCTCATCAAAGTTCCTGCCAGTGGTGGCTGGGTAGAGGATAGATAGCTTCAGTTTCTTGTCAGGGCCAAAAACGAACACCTGTAAACAGACACGCGGGGGGGCTCTTTAGTCTGACAGCAAAGCCGTTACCAGACAGACACTCAGGTTCAAGAGCTCGCTGCCTCATTTCCCCCTAATCCAGAGGAGAAGACAGAACTGGCAAAGGAAAATGGATTTCATTATAGGGCAGCCAAACCAGGGAGTAAAAGACTCCTAGTCCGTCCACACTTCCTCTGACATAGTGGTTCTTAACCTTCCCAAGGCTGTGACCTTTAATACAGTTCCTCATGGTTGTGGTGATCCTCCAACCATAAAATTATTTATTTAGCTCTACATTAGTTGCTATTATTTATGATAATACTTATTGTTATTTAGTTGTTACTTAACTACATAGCTATAGCTTCTACATTAGTTGTTATTATTAATAATAATACTTATCATCATTTAGTTGTTACTTAACTACACAGCTGTACTTTTGCTACTGTTAGGAACAGTAATGTAAAGATCTGATACGCGACCCCTGTGAGAGGTTGCTTGACACTCCAGTGGGGTGGCGACCCACAGGTGGGGAATTGCTGCTCTAACAGTCCTCTGTAATTTAAAAAGAATTTTATTTACTTTGCGTGTGAGGGTGTGGGTGTACACACAAGCCAGGGTGATAGTGAAGGTCAGAGGTCAGCTTGCAAGTGTTGGTTGTCTCCAGCACTGCATAACTTCCAGGAAGCCAATCAGATCCTCAGGTTTGGCGCCCTTACCTGCCTAAGCTATTTTGCTTGACCCAGAGTAACACTGCTATAGAAAAGATAGTGCAGATGCCAGGAACACATACATATCCATTTACTCGGAGCTGTGGGAACAAAGTTCTTATCTTGGTACAGATGCCTTCACCTTTCCCTTCTAGCATGGGATTCCTGGAGAAATTTTAATTCTTTGGAGTTCATTGTTTTAAGGTCCCTGTCCCAAAGTCTTCAGAAAGCTCTGCCTTAATTAAGTGTTCAAAGATGCAAAAACATAGAAAGAGAACAAGGGGTGGGGGAGAGTAGACAAAGCTGTCCGAGACACAGGTCACTCCCTTTTCTGTTACTCTTCAAAGTTTGCTGTCCCAGAAACAAGAAAGTGTCTTGTAAATTTTCAGGGAGCTGTGGTAGGCCACGGAGGGCTGCTCATCATGAACGTATTGCTAACGTGCTAATGTGAGCTGAGCATCGGGGCCGTCAGGCTTGGTCCCCAGTGAGTTCTGGATGAACTACTCATTGATGCGTAGATATATCCAACAGCTACAAATTAAACAAGTTTGGGCTGACTAGTTCAGCCACTCTGCCCCAGCATCCGGATAATAAAGGACAGCCACTGGCTCACACTGTCTCAGAACAGTAGATAATCCTCCCGTTTCCTTGAGTCAGCTCAGACAATCACACGGGGCAGCAGGACTCACCACACGGGCCGTCACGGGCATGCCCTTTTCATCCTTCTCTGACGGATCCAGCATGCCCAAGAGGATGGCAAGTTCCCTCTTCTTGTCATCGATGATGGGGAACGGGAGCTTTTCTGTGGGCTCATCACCATTGTAAGCATTGATGTCCTGAAACGGAGGAGGAAGGGGAAAGAGAATTTTAAACCTCACGCAGTTCTCTGCATTTCACCAGCGAAGAATCAACACTTTGCAGGCTGAGGAACCACCACAGTCATGTTCTCAGGACACTTGTGGTTGCCATTACTCACTGGCAGGAGTATTAGCAGAGTACGGCACACATAGGCCAAAGCTCTTTCCACACCAAACTCTTTAAATTTATAGGACCCCGGGGGTGAAGGGAGGAAGGCCGTAAGAAAGGGGTGGAATGTCTTCTACTTGGGCTCTGAAAGACGGGAAAGCTTTCACTGGGAAAAAAGCAAGGCATTTGGGGAAGTCAACATTAAGGAAGCATGCAGGAAGTCCACACATAAACCAGTGTAGGAAAGTGAGATTTTAGGAAGTGACAGGAAAGCGGATTTAAGATTAGAAAAAGGTGTTTATTATCTGTGTGAAGCTCATGGGCAGACCTGAAACCTATTTTGCATTTCTCAGAGATGAGAGGAGTTAAGAGTGACATTAAAACTCTGAAATGGACAGCAGTGGACTTGAACACACGCATTAATTTTATTACCTGCGTTGCCTGTGGCTGTTGGTCACTGGCTGCCTATTGTTTAGTCACCAGATAAATAATAACCAATGTGGGTTCCTGCCTGCACACCTGGGGCTTTCCTATGTGGCCTGTCACACGCTGAAGCTCGCACTGTCTTTGAAGTTTGGATTTATTTTCTGTTCCAGACAATCACAATTCTGGAAACTTTTAGGGCAGGTAAAATGAACCTGGGTATGTTCCTGTGTGGTATGTGTTCCTGTACCTACAGGTGTGTGCTCTAAACTCTTGACAATCTGTGATTTAATATTGATAGTCATTAATTCTTGACCTTGTCACTTGCTTAACTGTGACAGTGCATTGCACTCACGGACATCAAAGCACCACATCACTTGGTCTTTATTTTCGCTCTTTACCAGCCAGCACTGGAAGAACACTGGCTGGGGTTCAGATCACACTGACGTCTTCCTCTTCAACCGGCTGAGCTCGAGGAATCATCCCAATACTCCTTTACAAAAATAGCTTATGGTAAAGGGCTTTGCTGTGGAAATGCCAGTTACCATTTATAGCCAAGGTGTGCAGAATGAAAAAAATCTACCTCAGGGAAGATGGTGACCTTCATTATCCATCACCCTTTTGATCCTAGACATTTGGGATTAATTGGTGTGAAATGGCCATGGGATGTAGTCCAACTAACACACCAGAATGTGTGTTGTATGTGACTAGCAGTGCCTGGTATGTGCATAAACACACACACACACACACACACACACACACACACACACACACACGCCTCCCTATGGTAGGTATTACATGGTATACTGTAGCAAAGTCAATTAAAACATCCTATCCAAATACATGTAAATACTTCTGCACAAAGCATACAAGTTCAACAATTTACTGACCGTCACCTATTCTGTAGCAGTGAACTAGAGTCTACCCTGGCAGGGTCCTACACTCACAAGTGGGGAAAACATTAGCAGCCTGCAGAGATTTAGACAGTGTCATGGGAGGTGACACAGAGAGTCATCATGCCTCCTAATTTTGGACAAGGACAAAAAGGGGGTTTTAATGAGGTGCATTTGAGGTGCACCAAAGCAGTATAGGCAAGGCAGATGGACGTATTTCGTGTGGAATGCCGAGGAGTGTGTGGATAAACCAGACATGGGATGTGAAAACACAAGGAGTTAAGAATGGCTCTGGAGTTTCAACTCAGCAACACCAAAAATGTTGCTGCTAATAGTGGAGATGGAAACAATCTTGGAATGAATAATGGGACCCAATTTTAGATACGCTAAGTTTAGAGTGTTTAGATATCCCAGGGAAATGCAGAATAGGCTGGCTTTACTGACCTGGAGGCCAGGATATGGGACTCTGAGAAGCAATTCATGGGTATTACCTGAAGATGTGAGCGGAAGAGCTCACCAAGGGAGAAAGTACAGATAGAAAAGGGAAGTGGCCTATGAAGTAAGCTTGGGCTAAGTTCTGCACAAATTAGGAACTGGAAGACAAGGAAGAATGATTCTATGCATGGACAGCTGGAAGCAACATCCTGAATGCTAGGAAAAGAGGTAGGGTTTAGAGAGATCAGTTGAGCTGAATGCTACTGGTGAACCAGGGAAGACGGCGACTGAGAATCCATCATTGGACATAGAAACACAGAGATCCTGTGAAGTTGAAGTCTGACTTTCGGATCCCCAAGTTTATGTACACTTTCATCTCGGAAACCAAGTTACACTCTATGTAACTAAGATCTAATAACCTCAGACTCAAAGTCAATGCCAATCAATACTTCTGATACAGAGGGGGAAGAAAGCAAAGTGCCCATTCCCTTACTAAGGAACACAAAGACTTCCGTGACATTGCTGGTCACCAAGAAGTTAAGGTTATTAGGAACTGTGTGGAAGGCAACAGGAAAGGAAGAACACACATCTAAAATCATAGATAGAACTATACCTTGCTCCAGGCAAGATGGTCCTCAACACTGTCTATCGAAAGAGCGATCATCTTAACATTCCTCTTGGCAAACTCTGGCGCCAGCTTTGCCGCTCTGCCAAGCTCTGTGGTGCACACTGGGGTAAAGTCCCGTGGGTGAGAAAAGAGAATGCCCCATCTGGAATGAAGAAGAGGGTCACAACTGAAAGAACAGATACTATCATCAAGCAGAATGAAAACAATACCTGCATTCAAAACAGGTTTTCTTTCTTCAAACACCTGCTTAGTGAAGACTTTTAAACATTTTAGTTCCAATCTTGCCTCCAGAGAAGCCCAAGTGGACAGCAAGTGTCTATCAATATATACAATTTTATATATCCAACATATAAAAAAAATGATAAATGTTCAAAAGGACTCGATTTATTTATTTATTTATTTATTTATTTATTTATTTATTTATTTATTTTTGAGGCAGGGCGTCTGTGCAGCCCTGGCTAGCTGTTCTGGAATTTGACCTGTAGATCATGTTGGCCTTAAACTCAGAGAGAGGGCCTGCCTCTGCTTTCTGAGTGCTGGGATTAAAGGCATGCACTACCATACCCAGCCCCCTTCTTAATTATGAAGTCACCATGACTCCTTTTCAGTCAATAAAATGTGCGCTATTCAAGCCAAGGGCTCTATTGAAATATTTCTTAGGACTTTTGTTTGTTTTCTGGCACAAACTTTGATATTCAGCGTCTACGATGTCCCAGATCCAAACAGATGCCCGGCTACAGCAATAAACAGGTTATGTAACCCAGAGCAGACGGGGCTCTAGCCTCGATTTCTAGGTAGAATTTAGGTTGGTACTTGGCTTTCTGGAAGCAGCTGGATACAAAATCTTTCAGAAAGCCACTTGACTGACCTAACCTGTTGAGCAAGGTGCCCACATTTGCACCATGCCAATACTTCAACAGGTGCAGATTCACTTTAGACCAAGCAGGTAGAAACTACACGGTTATTCTACAACATAGATTTCCACTCTACAGTTCTTAGGTAAAGGTCTAAGGTACAGATCCTGAGGATGACTCAGACTCCCAAGAAACTGGGGAGCCCATTTCCTTCTTGGCCACAGAAGCTGTTCTTACAAGTGAAAGGAAAATGCAGCGCTGGGTTCTGTGCACTCATACTGTTTGAGCCACCCAGGGGCAAGGTCTCAAACCAGCAGATTGCTCAATCTGGCCTAGATACTCAGGGTTTGGTAACTTTTCCCGAGCACAAACAAGGCAGGCACAGCTACTGCCTTCCACCGCAGCTACTGCTTCCCACGGACACCTGCCACTCGGCTCCCAGGGCAAGGTGAGGCCTTCTTAAAAAGGACGGAAGGCCCTGCGAAAGAGCCAGGCAATGCTTGAAGACTGTGGGGGTACGCAGTGCTGAATTTTTAATACGGGCAGTAAGAGGGACATCTTTCAAGATTTAATCTGGATGTGACACTTAGGCCCTAGATTCTATGGAAAAGAACCGATGTAAGGTTCAGATGCAACTTAGAGAAAGGCTCCAGAAGATGCAGAAAGAAAAGGAAAGGGGCATTTCTTTATGTGATATTTAGGAGCGATGAATTGATTTTTTTTTAATTGTGAGGCAAGTGTGTTTTGCTGAGTCATGCTGAGGGACTGGTCTTAGGTTCCTTCACACACTCTAGTCTATCTTAGGGTATTCCAAGACTGTCTCCCCGGGGCCCATCTGCCCTGCTCTCTGGAGAAATTCAATTACATCATCCCGTTTCTTCCGCACTTTCATAGGAAGAGATCTTTCTTCTCCTAAGAGAAGGGTCTCTACTTCTGCCAGAAAACTTCTGGTACAGGTGTTGATTAGTGAGGAGCCCTACAAAGATGATCTTCCACATCCAGAGGCCACACAAAGCTAAGCACACCCACACAGCACCCAAATCCTTGTTTCTAAGTGTAAGAGGCAGAGCAGACACCTGTAATGTTTAAAGTTCATTTTCTTTCCCTCCAAAGGATACTTGAGTCCATAATTGGCAGTTTGACTTGAGATTATCTACAGAATGGAGTTAGGGCTAGGGAAAAAAATAGGCAAATTCCACATATTGTAATGATACATAGAGCGGAAAAGCCTTCCTCCGGTATGACAGGGGTGTGGCGCGTCACTATAAGCTTGCTTTGAAGGTTACTTCATCTTCTTAAGAGGAGGTCATTTCATTTACTTATTTAAATAGTTTAGTTTTTGTTTGTTTGAGACCGGGTTTTCCTGTGTAACAGTCCTGGCTGGCCTCAATCCACCTGCCTCTGTCTGGGATTAAAGGCGTGCCTACCACTGGCCCAGCTACTGATTTGAGTTTTTATTTAGTTTTTATTTGGAGCCTCAGTGCGCTACACAGATTGGCCTTGAATTTAGGATCTTCCTGCCTCGGTCTCCCGAGTTGCTGGAATAAGTTGGTTTACACATCTGGATGCAGATGGGAAACAGCATTTCAAAGCAAATCTAGATAGATGTAGGTCAATAAGCAACCATAAAGGGCCCCCCCTCCCCCCCAGTTATCTCCATAGCACTCGTGCTTTAGATTCAAGTTATCTGTAATCCATACCAACCAAGAAGAGTTCCAGCAAGGTCTCACATTTCACGGGGGTGTGGCTGCAGGCAGGAACGGGAAAGAACACTGTGTAAATCCTCTCTGCAGTCTTGGATAAATATTAACACCAAGGCTCTAAGAATGAGACCGGCAGTCATGCTCAACTCTAGTCTTCTTCTGCAGGGTCCGAGAGCTCATCTGCTACTTTTTCCTAGCCTGCCCTTCTCTTTGAAAAGCTCTGTCTGCGTGGCCATGGTCAGCAGATGGAAAATGGATGCCAGGCAAGAATCCTCACCTGGTTCTCTACTGCTGATTTACCGGTTAGTTTCATAAACTGCACGGACTTCCCGCATACACACACCGGAATACTGGATATAAAAAGGACACAAACCCAGGAGTTTGTTCACACAATGGAGCAGGGGCACTGAAACTCCAGAACTACAAGGGAACCCGACACGTATGCAAAATGCTGACGGAAACAGAGCATTAGAGCCCTCAGGAGCTGTAAAACGAAGGCAATGTAGGTGTACTCCTCGCCCTTAAAGGCCACCACTGTGGCTATCAGCCGCAAGGCCAAGCGCGGGATGCAAACGCAGAGGGGGAGGGGGCCACTGGGAAACAAAAGAGTCTCAAAGTGGGGACGCACGTGTCCTGGCCTTGGAATGGCCTAAGGTGGCAAAATGGTCGCAGGCGCTGAACAACCCCCTCTCGCCAACTGAAGTGCGATTAATAAAAACTCAGAGAGAGAAATTGGGATTCAAGCTGAAGACCCGAAAAGCAAAGGAGCCCGCTTCCGGCTCTTATCCCGACCTCAGTCCGAAATGGCAATCCTGCCTCCAGGAATCTCAGAATGAGACTGAGAGCTGTTTTATAATCCTCTCCAGTTCTGGCATTAAAGGCGTGCACCACCCGGTTTCTATGGCAAATTAGTGTGGCTACTGGGATTAAAGGTGTCTGTTACAGCGGCCTGGTCCGTAAGGCTGGCCATTGTGGCTGTAACTCTCTGAGCTTCAGGCAAGCTGTATTTATTAAAATAAAAATGAAATGTCACTACATTCAAACTGTTGCTTATTCAGGAATGACAGCCACACCCACACAGTGTTCCTGGTTCCTCCCAAAGCCGTTACACAAAAATCTTATTTTGACCACTGACGTCGACTCTGGACAAAAAGTCTTCTGGCTACTTATTTGGCACATGGTAGTTTTAAAATTTTTCAGAAGCCCGAAACTTCCACTTTCATAAGTTAAGCAGGACTTTAGATAACGCGGAACAATCCCGCTAATCTGTGGCTGTGTATTCTGACTAAGGCTTTCTGCACCCACTTTCCGTCGGGTGCAAATTCTAGAGCGGCGAGAGGACGGGCAGCGCGACCCTGGGCAAGCGTCCCAGGAGGTGACCTCCAACACCGCACACCCCTGCTCCACCTCCCCTCGGCTTTCGGTCTGACAGCGTTACAAATGAGCATTGTTTATAAAGCCAGGTTAAATAGACAACAAACCGTCCGCGGTAAGGACCCCTTCCCCCATGCCAGTCCAGCCACATTGAGTCAGGAAAGGGGTCCAGAGATCAGCTAAGGGCAGGCCAGGGGTCGTAGGTCCCCAGTAACGCCCGGGGATGCTCGGCGGAACCCCGGCAGCGGGCACGTGCGGGAACCGGTGAGGGACTAAACCAGCGGCGCGCCGGGGCCGAGCGCAGCGGGGAAGACAAAAGCCGGGAAGGCAGTTCTGGGGACCGGGCATCTGGCAGGGCGACGCGGTGGTCACTTACGAGTCTCCCAGGAAATCGTGGAAGCGGATTGGGCCGATGGTGGTATTGGCCTCAAAGTTGGGGGCTTCGTCCCCGAGAAGCAGCCCTCCCGGCATGGCGGCAGCGGTGACGCGAGGAACAAGGAGGCGCAGCCGCAGCAGCAAGCAGCCGGCGGGCTCCGAAGAAGCCTAGTTCAGAGCTGGCCGAGTGGGCGGGCCCGGGGGCGAGCCTGGGCGGGGCCGGGGGCGGGGCCGTCCGGGACGGTCGTGAGTCAAGCTTCACGTGGAGCCTGCTGGGCGAGTAGGATTCTGGAGCGAAAGGAGGCCACGTGCCATCGGAAGGTAGCCTTAGGCGTTGAATTGCTGGGGGGGAGGGGAGGAAGGGGGACATAGGGTCCCGTGGCTCTGCAAAGACGCTCTAGGCGATCAGCCTAGGCTCTCCCGCGCCCCACTCCCGTCAGACTTCCAACTGAGGGGTCTGGTGGTGCACCCCTCTTTCACTGTGAGCATCTAGCGCTGACTCCTCAGCCAACCTAGGCTTCAGAGGTTTCTCAGGATGTGGCAAGACCAGATGTGTGTGGGGATGAAAGCCAGAGGAAGTGGCTATTGCAGCAAAAATTCTGTACCAACTTCAGTAAGAGGACAATGGAAACAACCTTTTTTATTTTGCCTCCCCATCCCTGGAGGGATGAATTATAAAGTATTCAACACATTAGTCCTAAAGTTTAAGTACAAGTTTCACAATGTGCTTCCCGAGATCTAACGTGTATGTCCGTCAGTTTTCACCTGGGGAAGTGGCAGGTTTTGGTCCACTTACTTCCTATTTCCCAAGCACAAAGTAGAGAGGATGCCTCCTTTGTTAGAGATAGATGGCAGACATTTTGCCCAGAAACCAGAATCTGTCAGAAGCTGGTCCTGGTTATTATAAGCCTGACCCCAGCTACTCTGGAGAAATGAGGTTTGTTAAGTTCTGTGCTACAGAGGAAGTTCAAGGTCAACCTGGGAACTAAGAGCACCTCAAGGGGACTGGGAAGCAGCTCTGTGGTAGAATGCTTACCTGGACTATAGGAGGCCCAGGTCAGCGATTCTCAACCTATGATCGCCATCCCTTGGGTCACAAATCAGATTATTTACATTGTGATTCATAACAGAAGCAAAATTGCACTTGTGAAGTAGCAACGGAAAAATTTTTGTGGTGTGTGTGTGGGGGGGGGGTCACCACAACATGAGGAACTGTTGTGAAGGTTGAAGGAACCTAGGAAGGTTGAGAACCATGCCCTGGATTCAGTCACCAGCACTAGGGTGGGGTGGGGAAGGATATGTTATAAAGCACCAAGCCCTAGATGGAGAAACAAAATTAAGGTTGCATAAGTAAGGTAAGGGTAATGGCGGTTGCCTTCAGATTGTGTGCCCCAGTCTGGGAAAGCACGGAGGATAACATGGTTAACTGCTCAGCACATGGCAGGTGCTCTGGAAGTGGTAGCTATTATTTAGATGATGATAATGATTCATACAATCACTCTTTCCTTATTGCTTGCTTGATAGATGTGAGAGATTGTCCCAGCTCTTACAGGAAAAGTGAATTACATACAATTATGATATAATGTAAGGTAACATTGATAGGGAGGCTGCAATATTTGGGATTCAGCGTGAGGAATCCTTCGGAACAGATTTAGGAGATTTGAAGGAACTCTGTGGCAGTGCTGGGTGTGGTGGCTCACTGTGACGTGTGTTCTCGGTACAGTGATGTGCTCTGTCTTTGGGTCTACGTGCGTGCTTATCAGACCTACTTCATTGTGCACAGACTTACAGAGAGATTACTGGCAAAAACCTTAAAGTTAAAATAAGTCTCTAGCTTGACTCCACCCTTCTGTTTGAAAGCACATATCTCAACTTCATTTGCTTTCATAGTAGGGGAAGCAAAGTAGCCCGACTTTAGAGCACTGTGAGCAACGTGTTGCAAAATTGGGCTGAGAACCAAATACACCGGAATACAGAGAATGGATTCAGTTTAAGGCACTATGAGCAACATGTTGCACAGATGGGCTAAGTCAGATACGCCACAATCCAGTGAATGGGTACAGAAACAGATGAGTGATTGCTATCAAAGGCATAATTACATAGCCTCCAGTTGTAAATTAAGCAAATACAATAAGATAAACACCTAATCCAATTTGTAGTGCCACAAGTAGCATGCCGGTGATGATCCAGCAAACCGTTTTAGTCTTAACGAAAATTGAAATTCTTTTAAGGTAGAGATTAACATTTTTAAGAACACGCTTTTCTCCCCCCCCCCCCCAGAACACTACAGTTTCTGTCTTCTGAAAAGTCAGAAGATTTAGCAACAACAGGCTGTAGCCCACTCTGAGACGGGACAGAAAGTAGCGTTCTTTTCATGCTCAGCTTTTTCTTTATTTTTTAGTATTTTTCTCCTTTCTGTTTGTCATATTGTGAACATGAAAGATGAAGGCTATTTTATTCAAGGCAAAAACCTGACATAGTACATTTTTTTTTGTAAAAGTAAAGAATGTTCCCATTGCTGGATGGTGGTGGAACATGCCTCTAATGCCAACACTCAGGGAGGCAGAGGCAGGAGGATCTCTGTGATATCAAGGCCAGCCTGGTTTATACAGTGAGATCCAGGACAACCAGAAGTACACAGAGAAACCCTGTCTCGGAAAAACAAAAAACAAAACAAATCAACCAACCAAACAACAAAACAAACAAAAGAATGTTCTCATGTATTTAGTATGTGAATAAAGTTGGAAGAACACTGTGTTGACCCTTGTAAGTAAGTGAGTTTGACCTTGACATACAGCTGTGCGGCCAGGGAGTCCCAAGAGGAAAGACCATTTTCTCAAGGGCTAGTGAGAAGGTCATGAGTAAGGAAGTGCTGTGGGAGAGGCATTCCACAGGTAGGCCAGAATGTAGAAAAGGAAGACCCAGGCCAGGGGAGGGAAACATTTACTATGAAGGATGGAAGGTTCCGGTATCAGGGAGAAAATGCTTTCAAGCAACCTAACAGTTGGAGAGAACACCGAGACAGCATTTTTATGTAGCTTTGGAGCCTGTCCTGGAACTAGCTCTTATAGACCTGGCTGGCCTCGAACTCACAGAGATCCGCCTGCCTCTGCCTCCCGAGTGCTAGGATTAAAGGTGTGTGCCATCACTACCCTGCCTTTTTTTTCCCAATATGCAATTCCAATAAATTCTTCAATCTTTGCTGGCCCTTGCCACAAACTTACCTGACATATTCTGTCTCAAAGGTGAGGACTCTTGCTGCAAAGTGTGTCTCAGAACATAACTGACCTTTGTCTTGCCTTTGCTTTTTACTGAAGTCCACTCTTTCGTCATTCCCTCTTTAACTGCACACTTGCTTTTCATCATCCTAGCTGTGGGATTGGAACTGTGAACATCACATCCCCTCTGGCAGATGGCCATGTGTTAGGGTCTGTCCTCGGGAGCCCAGCGTGTGCTGAAAGGGATCATCAAGATTGGAGAAAGAAGGGCTTTATCTTTTTCCTATTCTGTTTTCCCCTTTACACAACAAAGAGCAGATTAGCCCACAGTTGGCTTTGGTGAGACAGATCATGAGGATTCAGCTTTCCTCAAGGGTTATTTGCCTGGGAGTTAAACACTGTTAAATATTGTTCAGAGCGTTAATGTCTCAGGAGGCCTTTATCGCTAGCTGTTTTTGAATGCGCTCTTTAGGAGTGACTCTTTTGACTTTTTGGTTGACTGTTACCACACCTTTTTCTTGTGCCCAGCCACCTTAAGTGGTAGCCTGTCGATCAAGAAACCTTTTTATTTGACAATCATCCAGACGGTGATCATGGTTGCTTAGAACCCTTCATGGATGCCCTGAGAAAAATTCACACCAGTCATGAAAACCAGTCCGTCAGAAGCCACCACATCTGCTTGAGTGGACTTGCTCCATTCATAGCTGCTCTAGTCAACACCTAACAACTTCTAGAGATTCTCTTTGACCATGATCTTATTGCAGTTGTTCTGAATGGCCCCGCCCACCTTTCAACAATTCTTCTTCAGGCTAGTGGAAGAAAACACTTCCCTGAAGACTCAGCAAGAAGGCTGTGCTGTGGAATATTAATTTTAGATGTGTTATATTCATTTATGTTGTGAAATATTTGTTTGATGATGCAAAGACATGTTACATTTGTTTGATTAAATAAAATTACCCTGGGGTCGGGAGGCTGAGCTGAATGGAAGTGGTAGGGAGGAACCATGTAGAACTAGGGTTCTTAAGTGGGGGCTGAACAGAAGGCTGTCCCATTACCAGGAGACCAGCTAGGAGAGGAGATTAGTTACTTGATTTGGCCTCTCTGAGTGAACAGAATTTCACCTCAACCTTTGGATCCTGAGTTCTAGAGAACTATAGAGATCTAGATGAAGTTTCCTTTAGTGACTGTGGTAGAGCTGGTATCTGAGGGGACAGAATTCCTGTCTGGCTACAGCCAGCCCAGCCAAACTGCTGCTGGTAGATGTGGAGTTGCAATTGCCGATTAGGACAGCAGTCGCTTAAGGGGCAGCTACTGAATTTAATGAAAAACAAGGCAGCGATTGGCAGACTGTATTGGCAGACTGTTTGGAACTGGTAGAACTGGAAGTTGGATACAAGCATATCATGCTCCCTTTCTAGCCAGATAAGCACCCTGCTTCTCTCTTCAGACCAGTCTTGGAAGCTTCCTTCATGTATACCATCTCTTGTAATAGAAGGCCCCAATAAAAGTCTTCGGAATAATTCTTTATTGCTGGCTTATCTTTATAACAGGCAGAGTGCTGAGTTGATTCCATTTAGAGCAGACAGAACCCTGGGGCTTCCAGACACTCAGCAGGTACTCGGTAGTATCTCTTTCAGGGTGGGTGGAGAGTGACGTCCCAGTTTATGGGCCCTGGGAAACTCCCGAGGATGTTCTTGGCTTCCTCAGACAGGAAGCCACTGGAGAGTTCCAGCGAATGGGTGGGAACTGTGACTATGAATGACTGTAGAAAAGTTGAAAGAGAAAAAGTTTTGAGAAGAGCTCAGAAGGTAGAAGACAAAAGACTGCCAAGCGCCAAGGGAAGGGTTAGCAGAACCTCCCCTCCATGCCCTCACCCCCCCCCCCCCCCCCCCCCCCCCCCCCCCCCCCCCCCCCCCCCCCCCCCACTGCTGGGAAAGTTCTAGAGAGGGCCCT